GTGAAACGTAAGTCACGACTGTTATCCAAGGTAGGGTAATGGGTAATTCAAATTTATACGTAAAAATCTTAACTTATTTACTAATTCAGTATGCATAATATGAATACTAGATAATTAATATTTGACCCTAACAAATTAGTGCTAGTTGGTAGTTGTATTCACACGTTTCGACTTAAAATTTAAAGTTACAACAATTATTTAAAGTGCAACAAACAAGTTTCTTGCTCATTCTTCATGTGATGAGACAGCTTTCCGATTGAGCGGTAGATTAAAAAAAAGGATAAGTAAGACTGAGTTTATTTGAATAAATTATTTTCTATTTAAAGACAAACTTGCTGTTCCTAAATATAGTTTAGAAAATGTCATGTCTTTTATGGGAATGGGTACAAAATTTTACAATAAGATACCAAAGGATATACCGGACCTTTAGATAAATTTAAACCTATACACTACTATAATTGATGGAATAAATTAAATATTACAAACTTCTTTAAATTTAAAATCTGACACAGCGCCATCTAGTCCCGCGGTAAGCAGAGCTTGTGGTATGGGTACTAGACAACTACTATAAATACATATAGATTAGATAGATTTTTTTGTAACCACATACATAATGTACATAGAAAACACCCAGGCCGATACAAACAACTATACTCATGAATACAAATAATTGCGCGCGAGGAATCGAACCCGCGACCATCGGAAGTAAAGCGGTGTGATAAACCACTAGACCACCAAGGCCGTCAATGGTGGTGATCAAATACTGATATGCTGGTGCTATATTAATTTTTAATACTACTGGCCGTATAACTAACTAACCCGAATATAAAAGTTGTCCAAATGAGTTACAAAGTAACAGACTGCCTTTGTGGACATTTTATTTCAAAGATTGCTAGTCACGACCTCCACGCGGTTCCCCCTGTCGTGAAATATTTTATTTCTCATCTTATCATCCTCCACTGGTGCCCCGCCAGCAACACGGCGAGTGCACCATTTATCCAGCATGTTCTTCTTGTGATGAGTCTGCATTCCGATAGAGCAGTAGAGTATAAAGATTTTTTTTATTTATTCATTATGACTAAGCAAGGTGCTTATAAGTTTATTTGAATAAAGATTTTGTTGGTTAGAATTTATATTTTGCTAAATAACAAAGAACAATTATTTTGTTGTATTTATATATTATCTTATCTCCTCTAGTGTCTTTGTTTCATTTCAATATACATTAAGATAGATTAAAGATCCTTGACGTCAGATATTTATATATATATATAAAAAACATAGCAAGAACAATTATATATATATATTAACTAGTTTCTCGCCCCGGTTTCGTACGAGTGTACATGTATTATATATATAAACCTTCCTCTTGACTCACTCTATTTATTTAAAAAAACCGCTTCAAAATCTGTCACTAAAAGAATATTCAAAATCGGATCAGTCGTACCGAATATTACCACGTACATCCAAACTGACAAACTTTATATTTATAATATTACCATAGATAATATTTAATCCAATTATTATTATCTTTTATTATCAGTCACTTAATTCTGTTTGAGGATACATTAAAGGACTAAGATGTAGATCGGTATGTCAAGATATTTATTGTCTATAATAGGCCCTTAGAGTACTTCGTAAACTCTATTGTACCCTATCTAATCATTGGATATGATTAATAGATATTCTAATTACATACGCATTAAAAAAAACCAAGTAAGAAAACATTAGTACATTCACCACATCGACAGTGGACAATACCTCCTATCTGGGAGGGAATGGAATTGTTAAATATAGTTACTAGCTACTCGCCCCGACTTCGCACGGGTGTACATGTATTATATATAAGCCTTCCTATTCAATCACTCTATCTATTAAAAAAACCGCTTCAAAATCCGTTGCGTAGTTGTAAAGATTTAAGCACACATACGGACAGACTTTGTTTGATACTATGTAATGATAGTTATATATGTTAATAATTGATGTACCATGACAGGTTGACCTCCACGGGGAACCGCTTGGAGCTCAACCTGACATACATTTTTTACAATGGGGTCATCAGTCCACATTAATTACAATCCCCTTTCCCCTATACTGGCTGTTCTGATCTCATGTTCATCTTATCATCCTCCACTGGTGCCCCGCCAGCGTAAACCGTTAGCGCAGGCGGGTGCACCATTCCATTACTATGCATTAAAAAAACCTACCTAGGATAACAGTCGAAACTAGGGTTGCCAACTTTTTTTTGACAACGTATAAACTAGTTTGGATAGGAAAATAATAAAGTATTATGAAGATATTTTTTTTTCAAATTTCATGTTATTATTGCTTTAAAAACGTATTTTTGTGTGCTTTTAACATTAGAGCTGTGACACACAACTCACAATTGACATCTAACATTTCGTTCAGTAATTATAAATCGTTAAGTACCCATAACGAGTATTTTGTTTTACGCATCACAGTAAAGGTTGAAAATAAAGTATTTTTGCATATTTTATTTGTATGTAAAAGTATAAAGTTTAATCACGAAAAATAAAGTAGGATGCGTTATTATAAAGTATAGTATGGCAACCCTAACCAAAACCTACCTAGGATAATAGTCGTTACGGTATGTTTCATGATTACATTATAAAATGTGAGAGGTAAATACCTTTATTTACCATAAAATTATTCGTGTTAAGACCCGGTTAATAAATTAAGTAATGTACATTATTAATTCAAAACCAAATATTATAGAAAAGTAAATAAACCATATCTTTGCAATAAACCTATAATAAAGTATAAATCACGTTATAAGTCTTCAGATCTAGTAAAAAAGAGTATTTTTTCACATATTAATCATGTAATATTAAACTACTTAACTATATTTGTGCTTACCCTTAAAAATACACAATTAAAATATGACACAAAATGTACAATACTTCGTGTAGATTCATAAAAATTTAAATGCAGATTAAGTCTTTAATAAATATTACAATGGCTTACTTAACAATAGCTTTAAAAACCTTACAACTAACTATTCTATAGAGATTACTATAGTTAATTTCGATTGCACATTTCACTGTGTGATTTAAGAGATATAAGAGATTAAATGTAATTAAAAAATATATAAATAAATCCAGTAAAATAGTCACAAATTACACTAATGCCGAAGAGAGACATAGCATATAAAATATTTTATACTTTTTTTAGGTAAATTTGAGAACAATTCCTTGTTGAGAAAAATTGTGAACAACTTTCTGTTAGCTTGCCTTTGCTCTCGCCTCACCTTTTTATACAAGTTATATTGGCATTAAAGAATAAATCAATTGTTGACAATACTTTGTATTACTGCTCACACTGAATTACTTAATCTGTTTAATTTTTTATTGTAACATTGCTACCTCCCATACACGCTGTGTAAATCACATTTATTAAAACAACCCTTACATAAGGACTTGAATTGGTTTTGATTTCTAATCTGATTTTCTATAATCAACTATATATATAATTTTAATAAAATACATTCGTCATTTATATTATAAATACGAAAGTTACTCTGTCTGTCTGTCTATCGCGCTTTCACGCCAAAAAACTAATATAAATATGAAATTCTAGACACTGAGAAGGTTTCATTCACATGAAATATACAATGACACAGACTTATGTAGTCTGTTATTCTGATGTATAAGCTATATTAATGTAAAGTTTCATCAACATCCGTTCTGTAGTTTCTGCGTGAAAGAGTAACAAACATCCATTCGTCTATACATCCATACTCACAAACTTTCGCGTTTATAATATTAGCAAGATTTGCAGGCAGCCACTTGCATACCCTAAATATCTTACTAACTACCCAATATGGTCCGCAAGCCAGGAACTGATCAACACCAATTTCCTCCCGGTCCAAAACATCTTCGATATTTATACGTATAATTAGGAAAAATCACGGGATCTTCTTACTACGTTTTATTCATTTTTATTGAGTTCATTTTACCCGTGATCATGGCGGTTGAAACACTGCCGAAATATCGGGAACTCAATAAAAATAAAATGTAAGATCCCGTAATTTTTACTAATTATACGTATAAATAATCTTCCTCCCGCGTCCTACTTAGATTGTGGAGTGAACTGCCTGCCGAGGTTTTCGCACGAGACTATAACATGGGGTTTTTCAAGAAAGACATTAAGGTTTCTTAAGGGTCGGCAACGCGCACGTAATCCGTGTGTTTCAGGCGTCCATAGGCCACGGTAACCATTTACCATCAGGTGGGCCCTTTGCTTGTTTGCCACCGAAGTAGTATAAAAAAAAATCTTCTATGTTTTCGACCGGGAGGAAGAAATTGAAGGAAAAAGCCACTGGCTTAAGGACTAAGAGCTCCACCTAAACTAATTAATAAATAAAGCATCCATCATACTAGAAGATACGTGTGCGTTATGTATTTATATGTACAATAATTAAATACGACCAGTGATTTTTATAATAATTTTCTAACAAATATCATTTGTAAAACAGTTTTTTTTAATACATATTTTGAGTTATTGACAGGTGCTAAGACCTGCACTGCGGCCTGCATAGATCTATTGTGCTCGCCGTTTTTCAAAGTTCGCTACTTAGACTCGTCAGGCAAGAATTGAAGGGTATTCTTAGGAGCTGGTTTTTATCTCCTCAGAATAGAGTGTATACTTTCCAAAGGAGATATTTCGTTTATGATTGAGCTACGATACATCTATACAGGTCGCAGTGCTACCAGTCTCTTCAGCACACAAACCCCTTAAAATATTTAAGATAGCAGCTTTTGAGTCATTTCGAGAAGCTACTAATGTCGTCAGTATACAACAACACCTTAAATAAAAATGTCCATTTAAGCTTTTGAGTCATTTCGAGAAATTCTTTTCATAATATCTTACTGCAAAATTAGTAAATTATAATTTATTCAATTTTACGAACTGTAATGAATTTCAATGAAATATAAATAGGTAAGAATGAATATAATGAAAAAAAAACCGCGCTGCATCAATCCCTTCACCCATGCCATCAGTCATATATCAGATCATTAGTTAGGAAGATCTCAAAATTAAATACTAATTTCAGATCATTGGCTCATAGATTCAAATGTAAGTAGAAACCAGTCTAAAGAGATCCTTAACCTAAATTATGTCTAAATGTCATACATATCTGTGCCCATCCCGGATCACATAGTCGTCCTGTCAAACGGATGTTTCTGAGTTCAGCCGGAGAACGAACCTGTTGCTCTTCGGATCGACCACCTCCTCGGTCAAACTGAACTTGGGGAGCTGCTTTATAGAACATATCAGGTATATATCACCTTGTCGCAGCTGGAACTCGATTCCGTCCGCGAGAGGGCGTGCGAGGAGTTCGTCGGATATCAGCGACCAGCGCTGCACGGGCCTGGCTTCCTGTTCCGCTGCCAGCACGGGACCTTCCACCAGGAACGGCTCCAAGAATGCACGTGGCGATGCGTCTTGGGACAAACAGCGGGCGAGATGCGCTAACACCTGCAAAATAAAACGTGCATCTTTATATATAAAAATTACATGTCACGTTGTTTGTCCGCGATGGACTCCTAAACTACTGAACCGATTGCAAATTTGGTTTGCACATTGTGTGCAATTTAATCCAATTTAAAAGATAGGATAGTTTACATCTCAATTTATAGTCGCAATATTATTTTATTCAAGAACCTTAGCCACAACAACGCGTGGCCGAGTCTGCTAGTTAAGACTATATGTTACCTATTTTATTGTATTCACACATTTCAATTTAAGACAGTTTCTGTGGTCTAGTGGTTAGTACACCACTACCGATGGTCGCGGATTCGATTCGTCGTACGGCATAAACATTTGTGTTCATAAGTATGATTGTTTGTATTCGTATGGTGTTTACTGTTTTCTGTTGTACTTTTTTGTAAATGGATATATAATATACACATATTATATATCCATTTACAAAAAAAGTATCGGTAGTCTAATATACATAACACAAGCTCTGCTTAAATTAGGACTAGATGGCGCTGTGTGAAAAAAATTCAATATGCAAAGTTGCCACAATTATTAAAAAAACTAACATGCAAGTTTCTTGCTCGTTCTTCTTATAATGAAACAGCATTCCGAGTGTGTGATGTAAATTAAAAAAGTAAGTGACTAAAAGTGCTTAAATTTAAGTTTATTTGAATAAATAATTCTATTACTTCTTAGGAATATTAGACCTAATGCTAATGTTAATATATTAAGGTCCGGGCGCTCAGAGTTTACGTTTCTGACAGGTCGAGATCGAATGGGTGATGTAACTTTGAACTAACGTATCTACGTACTGTGCTGTTTCAAGTTTATGACAATTTGTTTGTTTTTATAGTGATGTGACCAAATAACCTTGAAACAGCGCAGTTTGATATGGTTTGACTTTTAAAAAATACTGTTTTTAGAATATTGAGAGTACTAGTAATGTCGCAGTATTGGGACAATAAAAGTAGGTAAGGTAAGATTAGGAAGGTAATCATTCGGTAATTGTAGGTACTGACGATTCAGCGGTATGATGTAAGCGGAGGTGCTGATAAATCTATCAGCACCTCCGCTTACATCATACCGCTGTATAGTGTAGCGTGGATAGTAAGTTCTGGTCGAATGTAAGTGCGGGCAGGAGGTGGTGCCCGAGTGAGTGCCGGCAGAAAGAGACAACCGAGTGGGTGCGGGCAGGTGGCGAGCGAATGAGTATAGGTAGGTCGTGATAACCAAATGAGTGCGGGCAGAAAGTGATGACCGAAAGAATGCGATTAGGTGTCGATAAGCGAGTCAACGGGCAGGAGGTGGCGAGCGGGCGCACATAGGTAATAGTAGTCGAGAAGTACTCACGGAGTCTGCGGAGTGCCTGGGCTGCTGGCGGGTGGCGCGCAGGTACTTCTGCAGCGCGCGCGCCAGCGACGGGAACACGGCGGCGGCCGCCTCGCGCGGGCCCAGCGCGGAGCTGGCGGCGGCGGGCGCGGCGCTGCGCAGCCTCCGCACGTGGGCGAACGCGTCGTCGGCGGCGGCCACTAGTCTCGCGCGCCGCTTGCGCACGCGTCGCTCCCGCTCGGCCTCCTCGTAGTAGCGCTCGTTGTGCGCCGAGCTCGAGTCGCGCCGCCGCCCCGCGCTCCCGCACGAGCCCGGCCCGGACCTGCGACGACCATACGTCTCAATATTTAGGACTCCGTCGGGTGACCTCCCAGATTCATAGCTCGTGAGTCAACGCCCTTTTGTGTCCACATGATTATATTACTTTTTTTTTATAATATACAGATATCATTTCCATCTTCGCATTAATATTTAAAAAAATAAAAAATCTAAATCTTAAAACACTTATATATATTAATATGTAACTTTTTTGACAATATTCTATCACCTATGTTTATCACATATAACACAGAATTCTAATGGTAAAATAATTTTCAAATCATTCCAAAGTAGTTTCGAAGCCAATAATAGAAATATTTGATGCAAACAAATCAACAAACAGATTATCAAATCTTTCTTCTTTGTTAGTAAAAATTACTGCACCGTATTGTAAGATAAACATTATATGAAGAAGTTAATTAATACAGAACTGGATAAATCCAAGTAAAAACAATTGCTTTCATTAAACTTACAACTGCATTATAGAAATCAGAGTGATAGTAACAAGTTTGTATAACTTTCAACAAATTTTAACTATAATGAATATTTTTATGTCATCAGAATAAAGTAAAAAGTACTATCTCATCTCATCTCAAATATAAATATTCTCTAACATACATCTCAAAGCTTCATTATTACCAAAAATCTCAATAATATTGTAAACTCGAAAGTTTGTAAGAATAGATCTTTGTTACTCTTTCACGGTCAAAAACTACTGAACAGATTTTGATGAAACTTTACAGTAAGTTATACATAGCTTATGCATCAGAATAACACATAGGCTATACTTCAGACTGAAATTTAATGCAGGGTGAAACTGCGAGCACAACTAGTACTTAATAAAATAACATACCTTGGCTGCCCTGAAGATGCATTCGTATTTGAGCCATCCACATCATAAAACTTTATACTGGACTGTGCTTTCCTCTGAGATTTCGATATTGGTATTTTCTCCAAATATGGGTTATAAATTGGAAACTCCGTATAATACTTCTGCAGTACCCATACAGCAGCTCTCTGTATACTCAACTGTCCTATAGAATAGGATCTGCTTTCTCCATCTGGGCTTCTAACTATCTTAATATAATACACGGGCTCCAGATGTCTTATTTCCATTAAAATAACAGCTACGTAATGTATAAAAATCAGTGTATCCGCAAAACTCGATACATATGCCACCAGTGCATTATAGTCTATAGCGTCTTCGCCGACAGCCAGCGCTTTCGTCGCCTCCGTTACTTGTACTATATAGAACAACCAGTATGAAAATACACATACTGCTAAAATTACTAATGTCATAGCGCGGAACACAAAGATTCTAGGCAAAATTGCATTTCGCTGCCTTAAAAATACGGCCCAAACTCCTATTGCGAGTAGGACAAGCTTAAATGCTATTGATAATAAGATTCCTTTGCACTCAGCCGTGCATGCCAGCAGCTGGATCCTCTGGCTCGGCTGGATAGCTATATTATCAGATAGGTCGGGGAAAAATCCTATTTTAGGCAACACAACCATTGCTAATGGACTCACAAATGATACAAATGCTAGACCAAGTGCAATTGTGGTCCCAAAATATCTGGAACAGATGATACCTATTCCCGTATCATTATCCATGGGCCAGTTACTTATGTCCTCCATAGATTGGGACCCTTCAGAGGTATTTCCTGTAACGGCGGTGGTAGTTTCTCCCCAATTTTCATCTTGCGGTAGAATTTGTACTTCGATAACCTCTTGGCCATCTCTTCCAATGTCAGGGTTAATATTCACACTGGTTTGGAATGGCGCCATAGTGTCTCCACAGTCTTTTCGTTGCGATTTAGTACTTCTGTAAATTAATTTTATTATTGTTCAAAAATAAGCCATAATAGCTAATAATGATATGAAGAAAATAAGGTGTGATTATACTGTATATATGTCAGTTTGTTTACCATTCTAGTTACATGAGAAAAATGTTACAAAATTAAACTTTATACCTACTACATTATATTTATGTTCCATCTATGATTGTCACACAATATGTATCAACAAGGGATTGTAATATGTATTTTAAATAAAAATTAGATATTTATATGCACAAACCATAGCAAAATCTTCTTAAAAAATAAATTTGACACTTTACAATAATATGTTTATCAGAATAAATGGCTATAATTTATAATGAAGCTGTAACCGCAACAGTTATATATATATAATTATGTTGAATGTTTAGACATGATGGAAGATATCCCTTGCCGGTAGGTACTGGTTCATTGACAATTTTAGGAAATAAACATATTTTATAGTATTAAACTTTTATTAAGGTTACAAATACTTTAAATAAGTCTCATACTTCTGTCACAGCACTTTTAAATGATGATAGATGGATAGGGCTACAGACCTCTACACATACATTTATGATCTCCAAGAGTCAACAGACTGCAGGTTTAGAAACAAAGGTATAATTATAGGCATGAGTGCTTGTCGCACTTATGTCGAAATCATAGCATAGAATTAATTACATGTTAATTCTCTAATTTTGTTCACAACATTTATTGTACTTTTTGACTCTGAACTCTGAACAACAAAATTAATTTAGAAATATTTAAAAAAAAGTCATCTTAAATCTCTACAAACTTTCAATTTTCACTTAACGATCGTAAACATAATTACTTAAGTAGGTTCAAATATGGAACACTTTCTTTTACTAAAAAAAAACTAATGATTAATTTGCCATGCTCACATTTGCTATACCATAACTAATTTAATTAAGTGTTTTTCTATAAGATGTTATTCAGAAAGCATACCGGGTGCTTCGGTGAGTGTGCTGCCTGTGTCTGGAGCTGCGCCGAGACCGGCTACTCAATTCGGATCTCACGGATTCCGTCTCCATTGTTGTAATGATCCGCAAGTAACCTTTTCCCGACCTTATCCATGAGCGTGTTCACTGGTACACCTGTAATAATGTACAGGGTGAACGGTCAAACACTGCATGGGCAATTAAAATGCTTGGGTCTTCACGGATCCTGAGCATAACATCGATATCTCTCACACAGAATTAAACACAAATACACTAATAAAGTATCACATCTTATATTCGCTGTTACATCAAATTTCATTATAAATTACAAGAATCACCTTTTCATTATTAATGTAAAACGTATTTTTGAGAATTTTATTCAATAAATATCGTAGCCGTCAAGAATTCATATTGTACTATACGATCAATTTAAAATGTAAAACTAATATTTACTCTTTCTTTTACTCTTACGGGGACTCTCTTTACTGGACTCTGTCGCACACAACAGGTAACATCAGTATATTTCTCTTTAGCCGTATAACACTTCTTGCTTCGTTCAGAAATTGTAATAATTTTGTAACTTGATATTTTTTATTTGCAATAACACTCTTATTTTCAACAAAATTGTTTTTAGTAATAAATAGTTGTATATAATAAGTATTAAAGTATTTTAGATGTAATTAATAGTATGAACTTAATATTATTTATTTCCACCCGAATACAGTACACCGCTAATTAGTGTTACGTCTATTTATTGTTTATGGAATGCGCGAAATGGCGGTAAAATTAAAAAAATATGGAACAAGTGATTACAAAAGAGATAATGATAAGATACCACACCCATTGTACTGATAACTAGCTAGTCACTGTTCGGATTACAACTTCTAATCATGAAGTTATTGTTTATCGTATAAAAACATGGACGCCGAAAGAAATTCTAGTGAGGACAGAAATGAAACCCGTGACAATAGGACATTCGACTTGCATTTGGATCGGGTTGTGGCCTCTCAACCTGAAATCGGTCCGACCCCACCAGATGGGCACTATGGATGGATGATAGTGATAGCTGCATTAGTGTATCAAATAACAGTACCTGCTGTACTTACAATGTACGGATTAGTCATTTTAAAAGGTTTGAAAGAAGTGGACCACGATGAAAATGAGCAATTGAAAATATGGGACGCCGATTTAATGTTAGTACCAGTTATGTTAACGGTCATAAGGCTTCTGCTGGAGTCTTGGAGCAGGCTTTTAGTGAAGACTTTCAATATGCCTCGTTTTATAGCTCTGGCAGGGCTGTGCCTCACAGTGGCGGGAATTCTGCTGTCTAGTTACTCTACCGATGTTGATAGTAACGATTATATTGTGAACATATTCGCTGGTATTTTCGCAGGTACAGAAAAACTCAAAACTATTTATTGCTTACTCTATAATTTATCTTTGTACGGTTTAAAAAAAAAACTAGTAACTGTCTATGTTATTAATATTTTATATTTAAAATAGGAATCTCTTGACGCAATACACTGTAATAGTTAATTTATTATTTTAGTTGCTCTTATACGAAAACCGCGTAATCTTATAATTACCGCGACTTCGTATGCATCACATTTTGCATTGTAGCTCTGCTTTTATTGGTCGTAGTGTTTTATACAGCCTTCCTCGATAAATGAGTTATCCAGCTAATAAAATGATGTTATGGTAAACGGCGCCTAAAGATTATTATGGTATGGCTAATTACATATTTGTATGGAAGTTTGTCATTTTTGAAGGTAGAATGCTGAAACTATTTTTGGCTTTTTTGGGTTAGATTTATATTTTATACTATTCAAGATTACTATCCCACGCGGAGGAAGTCGCGGGAACAGCTAGTAATTGATATATATAAACTAACTGATTTCACAATGTTATGATCACATATATCTTACTAATATTAAACGCGAAAGTATGTGAGTATGGATGTTTGTTACTCTTTCACCCGAAAACTAATATACGGATTCTGTTAAAACTTTATAGTAATTTAGATTATACATCAGAATAACGTATAGGTTACAAATTTCTTGCGAGTGAAACCGCAGGCACAGTTATTATTTACTACAGCTGTGTTATGTCCAACGCATATAATAGCTATTGTTTTTATGAAACTACCTACCTAGGTACCTACCTACTATCACATTTATGTAAACAGATATTGTTTATATATACAATAACACTACAAGTAAATACTCCATCTGATTATAAATCTGCAAACTTAAAAAATAAATGTTTCATATTTATATTTTGAAGCAACAAATATGTTTATTAACTTAATTGAAATTAAGTAAAGCCGGTAAAATTCAAGTCGCCATTTAAGTAAATATCATTAACTGCTTTGTCTTTTAACCGTAACTTGAGATCGACGCAGTATGTCTTCTTCTCCACTCATCTCTACAGGCCGTATATCTATCATATGAGTGGACTCTTCTTTTAATTAATCTTTGACACAGTCCATTTCTTTCGGTCGTCCTATCCCTTTACATACATACATCTGTACATTCATATGTATTACCCCTCCGATCGATCCCCCGACTAATCCAAACGGGGATCGAAATTACTACGGCTTGAGCCTAGGTTGCAATCCCTAGCGGTGCCCTCAGACTAAAGTCGTATACGTCAGGCGGGAGTTGGCCATCAGCCGCTTCACGCTTCTTCCACTTCCGAGTTACCTTCAGCCGCTCCATAAGTCCTTTCGCGGGTTTGGAGTGCCATCTGCACTCGCCCTCTATCTTCCGGTGAAGCTGTAAAGGCCAGCTGCGGCCAACAACATTAGAGTAGTCAGAAAAAAAAGGTAAATTTATATCAATCTGTTGCCTCTCTCCATCATTAATTGTGTAAATGATTAAATATTAATGTGTATTAAGTACCTTAGCTTGGTCCATAGGTTTATATTTACCAAGAATATTATATAATCTTAAAAAGGTATAAATTTTTAACATTATTTATAGCTATGTTTTTTTAATGTATGATAATGGAATGGTATACTCCCCTACGGTTTAAGCTGGCAGGACACCGGTGAAGAATGAGCATGAGGTCAATTAGCCCATCGTAACAAATTCACCAGGAATTTATCATGATGATTTCCAATATAGGTACATTAGAAGTAATCTAGGGAAATACTGTATCTATTAGAAATATTATTTTCACTTCAACAGTATATAATAATAATAAATCTATTATATAAATATAGATATCAATTAGATATACAGTCTTACAGAGCCATTGACTTTATATACACATTGTACCACACTTTCCGATAAAAATGTAGATAATAAATATTACAGTTAAAATATGTAGGTACCTAATACCTATGATTAATACGTTTCTTTAATCAGTTATCTAAAAAAAGATAAAGTTAGCATTTATTACTATGACCACTATGACTTTACGGGATAGTTAGAGATCTGATATCAATTTAACTCTATCCTTACACACAACTCTGACTCAGAGAACTAACTCACTGCTGTTAGTTTACCACAGATAAATAGGTCCTGCGAAGAATATTAAATACATGTTTTATACAGAAGATAACCTTTTGCAATCTTTTTTTCTGTGTATGACATATGATTTTTTTTGCTCAATCCAGTAAACCCGATAGAATTTACTCAAAGTTTGTTACTCGAACTGTGTTTTGGGAGAAAACCTTGCCAAAGATTTTCACATAGATATATTATAAAACGGATTCGTAGAATTTTATGATCTTTTGGCATTCACGTCATGCTACGATGAGGATAATGTCAGATCTATTAGACCTATGTGGCAGCAGAAATCCATTGTCAATGAAGCAGGACATTTTTATGGGTAGGGGGCGCACGGAGATTAAACTTACTAATAGACTACGCCCCGCACTCTTTTAGTAAGGTCAATCCCCAATTCCTCTTCAGTTTCTATTAATCACAAACGCCTTATTCTATTCCATGTTACGAGTATGTACAGTAACAAATTAATAACCACTTCATTATTCATACTTATTTCAGGAACGGGATGCGCATTGACAGGACAACAAACAGAGATGATACTAACAACCTACTTCCGAGAAAAACTGGTGATACTTCAACGGCTGATCAAGATGGCGCCGTCCATAGGCAATGTTTTAGTGCCACTCTTGGTCGGTTACCTATGCAGCCTGCACCCAGCCACTGGGGTAGTGATGCGATACGCAGCAATCATCATGCAGAACTGCTTCCTCTTAGCATCATACACCAGACCGGTTTACATAGAGAAAGTTATAAAAACTACTTACAAGTCACTCCAAGACGCAATTGAAGACGATGACCAAGTCATATTCTCGAATCAGAGCAGATCAAACGAGAGGAACGCGCAGACCAACCCAGTTGCCGCAGGAACGAGTGCCCAAGAGGACGATGGCACCGACGTAGTTGTGTTCGATTCCAAAAAGAACGCTAAAGAAATTATCGACCCGCAAATTCAACAGCGCGAGAAGAAAATAGTCATAAACGACAATAGATTTTCCTCAGATTTCAGCACTATGTACACTTCATCCAATAACAGATTTTCATCAGATTTTGGTAATCTTGACGTGACCAGCTACAGCAGAATTGACGCTTACCAAGAATTGGAGAGTATAGACAGAGAAGCTTCAAATCCCCAGCCTTTGTACAGAGAAACTACAGTTAACTCTCCAGAAAATAATATAGTGTTCAACACAACAATGACAGAAGGGACTGCTAGAAGAACTGGAGCGTTGAAGAAGAATTTTATAGCAATAAAAAGCATGTTACTGGATCTCAACTTCTATTTGTACACGTTGCTACATCTGTGCACTACGTTTTCTGTCCTCATTTTAGGAGTTGTACTCCCGCTTCTGATATGGAACCGAAATCCGTCGATGAATGTTTGGGGGGTGAGTATGGTTTGTTAGAATTTACAATACTAACAATACATGTAAGTCTAAACCAAAGTTATAGAGGAGGGACCTGAGTTTTTGATTATGATACTTAACTCATTAAGAAAAAACCATTTATGTTACGGAAGACTTTTTTGGGGAATTAATATGGAATAGATCACCCGTCTAGAATAAATCAGCGTTAACGGTATACCAGATTAAAGATCATACGATAAGGATGAAATCAGAACAGTCCACGTATCGTGGTAAAATCACCAGGAACTAACCATGAATGTTCCCAGTAGGACCACGGTCAACCTGACCTGATATTACCAGCATATATTGTTGGTAATAAACCCTCCTACATTTTTTTTCGAACTATTCTAATGCTGTTGGTTGCAGCTGGCCTTTACAGCTACAGCGGACGAAAAAAGAGACGAGAGCGTAGTCATTCCAAACCCTCGGAAAGACTTTTGAAAAAGGCCAATTCCCGCCTGACGGCTAAGAATTTAGTCTGAGGACACCACTAAGGGTTCGAACCTCGGCTTAGGCCTTCGTAATATCGACCCCCTTTTTAATTCTTTGGGAGGTCGATTGGGGTCTTTCTAGAATACTACATGATCGTCTTAAAAGATGAGATGTATTTTATTTAAAATAATTCCCTCTTATCGATCCCTCGTCTAATTCAAACAGGGATGGAACTACTTGAATCGAGGTTCAAACCCCTAGCAGTAACATCAAACTAGAGTCGTATCATAAGTCCTTCTGAGGGTGCCATCTGCACTCACTCCCTATCATCCAGTGAAGCAGTAAAGGCCAGCTGCGGCCAACTACCTTAGAGTAGTTCGAAAAGAAATTAATTAATTAGATAATTACATGAGTGAGAACTCGGGACTCGTCGCCAGTAATTAATATCTTCACTCTCTTCCAGATTTCGAAAATGTTATCCCTGTCCCACGGCGCTGCCCTTTGCTTCATATTGCTCTGCATCTTCCTGCCAAAATCCATCAATGAAAAAGTGAGGCTTTGCTCTATGTTTTGTTTGACTGGCTCTATTGGATTTTATGGTAAGCATTGAATCACATATAATAAAAACATAAATATCTGTTCTTAAACGATTTGATTGCAATTTTTGTTTTTTAATGGCGAACCATTATATTATAGTCTATCAAATAAAAAACGCAATCAAATCGTTGAATCATGTTATATGGAAGTGTACATATAATACAAAATGGAAATTATATAGACGCGCTTTTATGTTTAACGACCTCGGTGGTATAATGGTTTAGCACACTGCTTTACTTCTGATTATCGCGGGTTCGATTTCTCGTGCGGCACAAACATTTATATTCATGGGTATGATTGTTTGTATCAATATGCATATTATGTATGCATTTACAGAAAAATGTATTTAGGTATTTATATCAGTTATCTAGTAACTGTATCCTGAGATTATTATTATTTATTTGTATTTCCAGGTATAACCTTAACTGAAGGCAAGTTCCTTCTAATAGTTTGGTGCATGTTCGCCAGCTTCGCTACAGCTGCCAGCAGCATGTTCCTTCAGCCCTTGCACACAAACAGCACTTTAAACGAGTTTAGCACTACAGCTACTATAACATCCGCTAACATTGTAGTGGCCGTTTTCATGACAATATGGAGTGTGATTCGAAACTATGAGTACCAGACTTGCTTCATGATAGCCAGTGTCATGCAAACAGGTTGCGGTCTAGTATTCTTCTTATCCTCCTTCAGACGCCGGAGATAATATTAATTATATTTAAGTAATAAATATTTATTATAAATAATAAAAATAAATAGTATTTACATTTTCATTTATTTTATTATAAGAGATCACTTTTCTATACAATAAATGTGTCGACTAATAAAATATTTTAAATTCTTTCTTACAGTGTCAACATGCTGTACTATATACAAATATAGTCTGTTTTTTTTTATCTCAAGAGACATTTGGATTAACTATGTTGCCAGCTTTTTGCGATTACTTATTAGTGTTGTGGCACTATCGGAAATTAATATTAATTACCGGTTTTTATACGTTATTTAGAAATAATGTGTGGGTGTTTATGTAATATTTTTTTTATTAGTTTAATGTATATTTATGTATAATTTTAAAACTATTAGCATTCTGTACTCCTTTATATAAACTATAAGTGTGCAGAAATTTTATACTCGTCCATCCGAGCAATTTATTTATTTAGTTTAAGGGGTACAAAGTTATTGCTTTACGTATTAATATATGAATTCCACATAGATACAGATGCAGTAAAATATAGTCTGTAATACTATCGAATACATCATTTATTCGATTCATTTATATATATATAACCAATTCGAATGTGCTAATAAAGCTGCTAGTTCTTGTGACGTCTGTGGAACGTCTATTGCTTAATCTATATAATAATAATCTATACGTAAATATAAGGCCAGTCATAAATTGTATACCAAGCTATTAAATAGGTCGAAAATTTGCGAAAATTAACAACCTTCAATAATAAAACAAACACGGAAATCGGAAAAAAATTTCTAATGACTAATTTTTTTTAATATCTCTCTAGATTCTGATTGGTATACCCTTTAAGACTATCCCTCTGTTATAATAAATGTTTATACTAATATATTTAATACATGATTAATAAATTATTAATTAAAATTAATTCAATAACAGTTACATTTTAAATGCTCAATAACCCTCATATTTTTATGCACCATAAATAAATAGGAATGTAATTTTAAAAATATCAAACCAAGTCCTATCAAAGAGACCGCAACGGCCTCTTTGACAGGACTGCTGGCTGGCCGCTTATAACACAAAACTAGAACGGACAGAACAATTGACGAGACACGGATACGACAGATAAGAATACGAACGATATAGGATTTTATAAATTACTAGTTACTCGCCCCGGCTTCGCGTGGGTGTACATGTATTATATATATAAACCTTCCTCTTGAATCACTCTATCTATTAAAAATATCAGCTACAAAATCCGTTGCGTAGTTTTAAAGATTTAAGCATACATGGAACAGACAGCGACAGCGACTTTATACTATGTAATGATATTTTATTATTAAACAAGCTTTCTTTATTATTTATCGACGACAATCTGAACGTTCGCGCCGACAAGCAGACTGTTCACATGTTTCGCAATAGTTGTGAAATTAAAATATTATTTGTTATCATCCACTACTGACCACATCCCCGATACACACAGACAGAATTACAACGGTCTGAGCCGAGGTTCAAACCTGTAGCGGTGCCCTCAAAAATCGTATCCGTCAGGCAGGAGTTGGCCTTCAGCCGCTCCATAAGTCCTTCCTTTGGTTTGCAGTGCCATCAGCACTCACCCCCTATCGTCCGGTGAAGCTGTAACGGCCAGCTGCGACCATTACTGCGAACGTAATGTGTTGTGTTGGTTGTGGTTGGTCCGGTGTATAGGGAAATGTGTTAAGCAGTGATGATAATGACAAACAAATATGAATCTTATGATAACGTACTAAAATCCATTATTATTAAGCTATTATTCAGTTTCAACATATATAGTAGCACAATAAATTGCTGATACACAAAATTGGACCATACTGATACGTAATAAGATCCATAATTACGATGTATCGCAAATTTGAACGATTCTACAAAACAATACGGTTTATAATTCAATAAGGAATATATCAGAAAGACAAAATCATTGCATGTAACTCAGGTTCATTATTGAAATATGGCTACACTAATTTGAACCATACTACAACGCAATAAGGTTCGTAATTAAATCATACATACTTATTATAAACGCGAAAATTTGTGAGTATTGGTGGATGTTTATTACTCTTTCACGCAGAAACTGCTAAACAGATTTTGACGAAACTTTACAGTAATATAGCTTATGGATCAGAATAACATATAAGCTATATTTTTCATTGAAATTTAACGCGGATGAAACCGCGAGCATAGCTAGTCATTAATAAAATCATTAAATTTAACTCAATAAATCCATCATTTCATTATCACTTAACTTCTTAACGTTATTGTTTGTGTTTTGATTATTATTTTGACTTTGATTGGGGAGTAGAGATTCGAAAGCTGACCAATCCTGTTTAACACCCTGATTTTGATTGTTTGCCCACTTATTATTAAAGTTACCACTAGCTGACCATCCGCTGGTAGGTGGTAACGCTAACTGACTGTTAAATCCTGTAGGCATATTATTTTGATATGTAACTGGGATATTTTGGTTACTCATAGAGATATTATAGTTAGGTGCTTGAGATGTAGAGTTGGTTGGTGGGGAAGTAACGAAGGTTTTTGTGGTTAGCTGGTTGAGGTTTGATTGCAGTAGAGAGCTGGTGAGGTCGAATGGTTTGGGTTGTTGCCGTGGTGGCGCTGCAATCGCCGTCGGAGGCGGCTGGTGGGAGAACTTACGGACTGTCTCTTGCTGTTGTGCCAGTCTGCAACGAAAAGAATTATTTTTTATAAATTACTTGACCCTGCAAACGTCGTTTTACCATATAAATTAAAATCGCTATTAAAAAATAGGTTTGTAATAGAAGGGTAAAAATGTATGTGTGTGTATGTGTATGTATTTTTAATGCCACATAAAAATAAATTGTCCAAAAAATAAAAATAATATGTTTCAGGTGGAGAAGAGGCGGTGGCGTGATAGGACGTATCATATGAAAATAGCTAATGCTCTTTAAAATGTGGTTGAGAGTAGTGATGGTTGGCTCACCCGTTATACTCGTGAACAGATGCTGCTTGTAGGGACTGATCTGGTCTGATGACTATGACGACTGATCTGGTCTGATGACTATGACTAACTTATTTTCAAGTAACTATTTATTTACTTCTAACAAGTTTGCTATTTGGAAGTTTGTATTCATGCAAACTCTTAAAATTCTTAAAAATGTAATTCTGAATAACAAATTTATTTAAAACAACAAGTTTGTGTTTTATATATATTTATGTTATGTCAACAAATAAGTCTGTGTTCCGAATGAGTGGGAGAATAAAAAAAATGACTATTCAAAGATATATCAAAGGCGTATAAGAAATATATTTGAATGAAGATTATTTCTACTTCTATTTACCTCTGCTTCTCCTCGATGCTGAGCGATCCGGTACTCTCAGGTGTGTATGGTACAGCTTCCACCTTCTCCTGTGGTTTGCTGTTATTGAACGAGAATGAGTCCAGGCCGAGACCGGAGAACATTTTATCAATATCAGTTTGTGGTGCAGGGGCTGGTACGAAACTGTCAGTTGGTGCTGAAAATGCTTGTTCCATTACTCTGTAAAAAATATTCGTCAGTAGAAAGTAGCATAAATATAATAAAATATCCAAGTATTTATATCAGTTGTTTAGTACCCATAACACAAGCTCTGTTTACCTTGGGATTAGGTGGCATTATTTAAATTTAAAATATCTTTATTCATGTAGGTTTATTACAGATTCTTATGATATGTCAAATCTACCGTCAGTTCGGAATGATGAAATTCAGCTCATATTTATTTAGAAATAAATATTGTACATGTTTAAAATAATATAATAATAATAATAATAATAATCTCAGGATAATTCACACAGCGCCATCTAGACCCAAGTTAAGCTAGCTAGAGCTTGTGTTATGGGTACTAGATAACTGATACATATACATAGATATTTTTTGTTTTTGTAAATACATACATATTATACATAGAAAACACCCAGATACAATCTTACTCATGGATACAAATGTATGTGCCGTGCGAGGAATCGAACCCACGACCATCGGTTGTAAAGCAGTGTGCAGTTTCAACTTTATAGCGAGCATGACTTTCAAATTCCTAATTTCTGATAATGGACCCAGGTAACATTATATTTTATCGACAAAATACCATACAAAGGGCGGCCACATGTCACAGCCCTCTGTGTTCACAAAAAAAATTCTGTTCGCAAGAATCTATGTTAACAACATCACATTAGTATTGTAAAAAGGGCTTATAATTTTAAAAAAGTGTCTAGTAAACACATTTTGGTTTTGTAAATTTGATACCTAATACACCGGATAAAAAAATATCACCAGGAATTCAATGGCTTCCAGCAGGAATCACGTGACCTGATCAGTAGTCCACATTACTAACAGTCCTCCCCGAGGTAAACATTGGAAAAAGTTATGTACCCCACGCACCTATGTCTCTTAAACACAGCTACCAAATTCTACTGTGTTTCTCAAACCATGACACATTGACAAAATCGTCGATCAAAATTAGTGGAAGTAATTTAAAATAAAAAGAAGAAACCACATACTTTGACTCATTCTGTATCGAGTTCAACTGCTCCAGCTTAGCTCTGTGTTCCGTCTCCACTTTTGATATCATCTGCTTGACGAGGGTGATTAGGGCATTAAACTGGTTTAATGTCAACCCATTCTCAACACACAAAGGTATGAGGAACGGAAGTACTTTGGTGGCCATCACTTCCTTTGTTATACCAAGTTTTTTATGTCCAAGTGCCAATTTGTAAATACCTGAAAATACAATGAACTGAAATTAATATAGGAATACAGGATCAGAGAGCATCTTACAGGAGGACTACAACCTTGGGAAAGACCACCATTTTATCACAACGCCTTACACGTCCTTTCACACTTGATCATGAGCACGTACAATTTAGCGCGGGAACGTCAGCGCCCGTAATCGTGACAATGCACTCAGCATTTAACCATTTTTTATAATCACTCCATCACGCGCGATTGCGCATATGTCATGTCATTACACATTCTTTTAAAAAAAAAATTTTTATTCGAGTTTTTATTTTTCAAAAACACGTTTAAGTATTATAAATTATCAATAACTCTTTAATTATGTCCTTATTCCATAATAAGATGTAATCGATTATTACATAAAGGCGCTAAAATACGTAAGTTTGAAGGGCGCGGAAAAACGCGAGCTGGCGGCGCGCGATTTCCATATCTAGGTTTAGATGCTCTATCTTTCTTACTGGTACGTAATACTACTATTTTAAAAATAATTTAGATATTGGTAACAAATATATTAAAGAAAATACTTTATACTATTTTATTTTAAAGTGTAAGCAAGGTTCCAGTCAAATCAAACTTGTATTAAAGTACATTTTGAAGAAAATATTCAAAATACCTATAAACTTTAAATTTACCTAGAATTCCCATCAAAACAGCTGGCTCTCTTGATGGTATCTGCGGCAGGAATGGTATTATCTCATCCAATACCAACCATTTGTCCAAATGCTCCAACAACTTGCCCAAACATAGCAAACAGTTTACACGCACCGAAATATAGTTGGTACTTATGCAAAGCTTTTTGATACGTGGTAGGAGGGCATTCTTCATAGCCGGATAATCAATTAATGACGCAAATGTTGGTAATACAGACAGACAAAGCTCTTGTATTTGTTGTGCATCAGCCTCTAGTGCCCTATATAACATTGGTAATATATCAGTCTTGACTTCTTCCCCAGGCGTAAGTTTCAATAGCAATTCCATTTTCTGCATAAATATCAATAATATTTGTATGGGATCTTGTATCAACATAACTGGTTTTAGAACAGGCAGGATATATTTTATGTACTCTTCTTTCGTTGAATTCTCAGCGATGAGTAGTACATTTGGGAGTACAAATGGAACCATGGGTGGGTTGACAAACTCTTTGCTGAGACATGGTAGTATGCGATAGATGCAAATGCGGTGGGGCATCTTTTGTATGATCTGTGGTAGCCCCTTGTAGAATTGAGATTTTTGTAAGTTATCCCATTGGAACATTGAATCCAGGTAATTAAGTGTCTTCACTCCAACATCCTCAAAATATGGTATCTAAAATATAATAAATTATTTTTATTTAGTTCATTCACACTTTATCATTAAGTACACACTTAAGGTTTAATAACAAATAATCATTATGTAGATAATAATAGTTCTTAAAAACATATAGGGAACAACATATTTGTTAGCATATTATTAAAAAATTATGGATCTGGATGGATGGATGGATGGATGAATGGAATGGATGAACAACTAGGTATCCAATACCAATACCCAAAAAGAATGATGATAATTAAAGAATATTGTACAAATTATTTCATTGTATTATAATACATATAATACTAGCTGCACCCGTGACTTTGTCCGCATGGAATTTAACTTCAGTTTTCTAAAATAAAAGTAGCCCAAGTTACACCTTATTACATCAGCTACCTGCCAATAAAAGTCCCGTCAAAATCGGTCCAGGCATTTCAGAGATCAGCCGGAACAAACAAACAGACAGACAGACAAATTGTAAAAAAATGTTTCTTTTGTGTATGTACCGTATTTATACTCATATGTAGTAAAAAATGGTTATTTCAATATTACAAACAGACACTCCAATTTTATTTATAGGTATAGATCTAGTTAAAATAAATATCAAATATTCTTCGAAAAATCAAATTTGAAATATACATTATTACATAAAATAAAAAATAAAATGCAAACTGTATTGTTAATATATACCAGAGTAGTCATTTTATTTCCTAAATTAAGATCAAGAAATAATAATAATAATAATCTCAGGACAATTCACAGTGCCATCGCCATTTGTGTTATGGGTACTAGACAACTGATACATATACATAATTTTTTTTTATATACATGCATATTATACATAGAAATGTCATTTAATGATGTGTTATGTAAAAATACTTACTTTTAAAAACTGATGTGGATCTGGTCTTAATTCAGGTGTCACATTCAGCATCAACTTGACATACTCCTTGAGACCATCAGCTACGCACAACAACCGGGACTGTGGTAGAGACCTAAGCTCATTGGCGAACCTTTTAAATTTCATATAGTCATTACCAATATTGCCTAAAGTGTGGTTCCCACTACTATGCAAGGCATATATAACCATTCCTAGTGAGTAGATATCACTGGCTGGGGAATGAGTCGCTGTAAGTATATACTCAGGAGCCAAGTAGTCAAGTAAAGGTTGGGACGATGGATGCATTGCTTGGCAATATTCATTAAAAGGCCAATATGGTGCAGAACCTGTAGCATTCTGATTCGCAATACAAAAATCGAACCCAAATATTTTCCATGCACCCTGCTGATTTACGATTATAGACTCTGGACTTATATTATGATGCAGTAACTTGACATCATTGTGTAAGAATGCGAGTCCTTCGGCCACTTGCATTAATCCATATTTAATTTCTAATTCGTAAAGTTTGTAATTGACCAAATGACTGGGCACCGGTTGGGGCATGTTTTCTGTATTACCCAATATGTTAGCTAAACTTGCAAACACTGGTTCCGTAGCAAAAGCCAAACTTTCTCTACTCTCCTCCAAACTGTGCTGGACTGTGAGTATTTGGGGATGTCGTAGCTTCGTCAATTGGATGATTCCACGTTTCAATGTATCCAGCATGATATCCTTATCTGCTTTTAAAAATCTATCTAGTTGCTTCTTTTCGAATACAAAAATCGATGCCTCTTGTTTTGTTGATTTTTTGTAGCCTTTGTAAATCTTCCATAACAAACCTGAAATTATTATTATATATCATTGCTATTGTAAATATTAATATTATTTCATGAGAAAGTGAGTTTATCACTTTATTGTACATTAATGACTTAACCAATCATCTTGCATTTAGTTATCCTAAATGCAAGATGATTGGTTAAGTCATTAATAGAATATAGTCAATTTCCAGCCAGATCGTTCATAGACATGAGGAAAAAATAACGGGCAGCAACTAGTAGCAATACAATAAGGCAAATTAACAAATATTCATTGTAGTTGAAAGATATAAAAAGTTTCAGTTTACATGACATCTAGATTGTGAGTAGCGAACACAATTACAACTACAGTAAGATCTATACACTAAGACTATCAACTGCTTACGAAACTAAATTATTATTGCCTAGTCTGTTTACCTGGACCAGCGCTGGCGATGAATTGTGTAGCTTCAAATTCCCTAGTTACCGGGTTTCCTGGTAGTACACCAGACAGCTGGGACACAGTACTACTTACAGACGAATAAAATTTATTAAAGACCTCCATTGTTAATCTTTCAATAGCAGCTTCCTCTGCGTGATTGTGAAAACATAAATTTTTAGTAGAATTACATTACATTTTTTACAAAATACACAAGACAAAGAATATATGGGTCAAAAATTACTTAAACGTCAATATGACAGTGACAGTAACAAAAATATTCCCTTTACATTTTTGTAAGTGGACCCTTTACATTTTTGCAAAAATTATTATAAAAAAAAATGGTCGGAGGATGGATTTTGGGGACCTTGTTGTGTGGGGAAATTTTGGAGCTTGGTGTTTTGTAAGTGTGTGTTTCGATGTGGCGGGGTTTTTCTAAAAGATGCATTCTTTTATCCGGGTAACTTCTTGAGGTCTGCCATGATGGAGGGCGTGTCCCGCACTCTCTTCAGGAACTAACAAGACTCAAGAACATTTTTGTACTTTACGACAACAATTCAAGACATACAAAATAAAGTCAGAAAGTTAACGACATCAAAATAATCCAGACATGGCTGTATGTGTACAGTTAACCTTAACAGTCCACAGATGATGAACACAATTTTTTGTTTGGTTTACGTTTATACTTTTTTCTTTTTACTGCGTAACTTACAAAAATAGTATATTTGGGGATTTTATTTGGTTTTTTAATTTTAATTCTTAAATTCGTATTCTACTAATAGTAGTAATACTCAGTCTCAGTGTAAGCGCGATCCGATGTGCACGTATTATAATTATTTTATTTAATATCGTAATTCTCCGCTCAGCGCGGCATAAGCCGTGCTAGTCGAAGTTCCAGCCATGTGTGACAAACTTGTGGCCAACGAACTCCTTGCGTTCCTGCAGCAGAAGCTGGACGTAATGGACGAAGTAAGTGCAGTCCAGATCTGTGTGTCCAACTTCAGCCAGGACGACATCGCGAGAGCGAAGGCTCTGCTCTTCGAGTCCCTAAATAAGACTAATCAGATGGTGTCTCGTAGACGTGACGGGACACAAAAAAGCGTACAGGACATTATAACGCTGCTGAAGGAGACCGATCCAGACGACGTGCCAACTTTTGTGGCGAAGGATTTAAACAAACTTCCTCCAGTCACATTTGATCACGTCGATGTTACCAGCTTACTCAAGGATATCGTGTCCTTAAAAAAGAGTTTGGCAGATGTGACGCTACGTTTCAATGCGTCAGAGTATATAATTAGTGAGTTGCGCAAGGAAGTGGACAGTTTGCGCGACTCGCGAAAAGAAACTAGGTCACTTGACGCTACGAACATCAACACGCGCCGTGGGGCATGCCGCGATGTGTTCACGGCGGAGTCAGCGGTTTCGGCGTCGTCACTGACGTCACCAGATGTGGTGTCACCGCCGGCCGCCGCGCCCCCCGTGCTCCCCGCCCGCAGCTCGCGAGCACCGATACCGCTGCATGTGGAAGCAGCGCTAACAAAATCCTCGGTGCAACCACAGCGTCGAGATTTTGCCGCCGTCGTCGCTAGCAAACCGACTGCTTCAGTACAGCGGCGTGTGCCAAAAACGACACTGAACATTGACCCTACGTGTGCTGCCACTGGCAACCGCGACGATGATGGCTTCGTCGTGGTACAAAAGAAGAGGCGCACAAACAAGGTCAATAGGAATCATTGTGGCACTGCACTCACTGGGCCCAACTTTCTGCTGCGTGCTGCTACACCGACCACGACAATGTACCTGTCCCGTCTACATTACGCCACTAAGGAGCAGGACATTGTCGATTATATTCGTACCAAGAGTAACCTGACATTGAGGGTAACGCAGCTGAAGTCGAGTCACAACGCGAGTTTCAAAGCGTTTGTGGCCCTGGTCCCCACCGACTTGCTGCCCACCTTCATGAAAGAGGACTACTGGCCGAAAGGTGTGGTGTATCGGCGCTACCGTGGCAGATTGCCATCTTCAGTGCCGTGATCACACAGACAATATGATTGTATTAGTTTTTAAATATTATATTATATGTATGTTAGTCTATGAGGTATTTATAATATGGGCCTAGTTGCCTGAAATAAATGAATAAATAAAATACTCTGTCTTTAAGAATGAGTGACCGAAATAGACAGACACTGACACTGTTAAGATGACATTGACTCATTTGTCTCTATGACAGTGACATTTCTATATCTTATCGTGTACTGTTATTATTTATTTACATGTAATTTTTTATCCACTCATTTGTTTTCTAAAACAAAATTTAATTCATTAGAAATGAACGAAAAATGTCCTACCTACAGTGCCTAATTACACAATGTTTTGTCGTTCTTTTCATGATACCTACAAGCCTATCTGAAAGTATTCCGTATGCTGACGAGCCTTATCGACCACTCGGTCCACTTGTAAAATGCAACTTCTTACCATTGGAATTTCTTAATTGCAAAGAACCATTAGACCATAAAGGGAACCACTCAGCCAGAGATGCTGCTGGTCACGGCTGCGTGAAGTTTGGAGGAGTCAGATACGATGAAGTTGAAAGAACGAAAGCGCAGTGTGAAGTGCTTAGTCATATAGAATGCCACGGCGCTAGAACCTTCTTGAAGGACGGGTTTCCCTGTGTGCGATACTCTGGACATTATTTCACCACAACTTTGATCTATAGCATACTGTTGGGTTTCTTGGGAATGGATAGATTTTGTTTAGGACAAACTGGCACTGCTGTGGGAAAATTACTGACCCTAGGAGGCTTGGGTATATGGTGGATAGTGGATGTTGTATTATTAATAACAAACAGCTTGCATCCAGAGGATGGCAGTAATTGGAATCCTTATGTTTAGTAGTCAATAATATTAGTAATTTATTAAGTTACATAAAATGTAAATTTTTATGAAAGTAAAAAATCTATGTAATTGTTGTTTAATTCTTATTAAATGAATATTAATAATTTAACTGTGTTTATTAAAATAATATTTGAAAACTGAACAGGTATAGGTTGTATAATTTTTACACATTAAATTTTTCCCTGTAATTTTAGTCATATATTTACCATCCTGTGCACTGCATTATGCACTTTTATAGTACATATTTATATTGGCACAGCCTTCGTCTATCCTCAAGAAATAAATTATAAATTTCATTATGATGTCCTATGTCCTGAACCTATTTATTTACATATATAATATTGTGTATTTTCAATGCTGGTATACGAATTAGTAATTAATTGCTAATGTACTGATGAAATTTATATCTTATGTGTGATTCCCACCTAAAATGTATAGGTATATATTGTAATGTTTCATCAAAATTCATTAAGTAGTTTTTGTATGAAAGCTTAAACATCCATCCATTCATACTCACTAACTTTCATGTTTATAACATTAGTAGGATTTTACTTAGTACAGTATGTAATATTATGTTATCTGTGGTACAGTATTTTACAAACTAAATGCAAGTTGATTTAAAAATAATAATAATATGATATAATAATAACAAGTATAGAAAACTCAGCTGCAATACAATCACACTCATGAATAAAAATGTTTGCATAGTGAATCGAACAGGAAATAAAGCATTGTGCTAAACAACTTTTTTTTTTTTATACTACTATGGTGGCAAACAAGCACACGGCCCATCTGATGGTAAATGGTTACCGTAGCCTATGGACGCCTGAAGCACCAGGGGTGTCACGTGCGCGTTGCCGACTACAACTGGACCACAGAAGCCGATAATAAAAAAAATATAGCATCACTATCGATACCAGATGGGGTCTCAGGATTTGGCAATAGTCATGATTATATTTCGTTTTATATAATCGAGTACAATATAACAGGTAGCCAACCAGCTGAGACATGCATCTTTCAGATTAAATGTTGATTTACTTAATATTAAACAAAGGATGTGTAGGTAGTAAACCAGTAGATATATACCCCAAAAAAAAATTGTAATGAAAGACTTGACCTATTGACTGAAACCATCAAAAAAATATATAAGGTGAACACCTTATATATTTTTTTGATGGTTTCAGTTAAATATTATTCCATTCCAATTCTTTTAGAAAAAAACGAATCAAATATGCAAATATGCAATAGATTTGAGATATTTAGTACATTTTTGATTAGGTAAAAAAAAGTAATGCTAAACATTTGTGATATTTAGCATATTTTTTACTATAAATAACTATTTGTTGATACCAGTTGCCTTCATTATTCAATAAACCAAATGAAAGTAAGCAATATTAAAATTAAACATATTTTAAATGAAACTAATGTAATAGTGGTAGGTAATTTTATTTAAATTTAAGCCACCAGGGCTGAGGCGGTGCTCGATTCATATTTCCAGTTGGGAGGGAGCACACTCTTTGTCTTGTAGTAGCGGGCTAGCCTATGAATCCTGGACTCGACGAGAATCAGCCTGAACTTGCTGTCCTTGTCTTTCCTGTTACGTTCCAAATGCTTCCTCATGGCTACGGCCTTCTTGATTAAATAGTAGAGATCTTCCGGTAGATCCGGAGCGAGACCCATGGCTTTCATGATTCTGAGGATCTTTTTGCCTGTGACGAATCTAACTTGTGCAACTCCATGGGAATCCCTGAGCATGACGCCTGAAATTAGAAAATGAATTCTTTTATCATAAGGACCTTGTGAATTTTAAACATCATTATTTGATAATTAAAATTTCCATTTTGTTATTTAAATAAATAATTTGATGTATCTATATAATATAGATATTTTTTACTATGTTATAATAAGTAGCAAATATATATAAGAGGCTTTTAGTGTCTCCCAAACCACGATGTTGGCAAAAATCACCAACCTCATGGGGTGGAAATAGGGAAATTCATGGGTTTTGTTCCCCGGAAATCAAGCTCGAGAAAAGTCGAGAACTCGAGAAATCATGTACCGATATAGAAATTAAATTGCCCTTTGTTTTGTTGAGTGGCGCGCAATAATTTAAGATATTAACGTTTTTGTTTTCTTTCATGTTATTTTTTTATTTTGTAGAAACTATTTTTGTTTACACTGTTTTTTTTTATCTAAATAAGCAGCCAAAAATGGTGCTATTATTATATATATAAGTCTGAATAATTAGGTCCTAAAAAATTAAAATTGGCGTTTTGTAAGGGAATAACCTGCAGTATTTTTTTTTTCAAACTATATCAAAATAAATAATATATAAAATATATTTATTTAATCAAAGTATATACCATTTCTATTTATGCACTTTTGGCTTTTGTTTTTGCACTTTGGACTGCCCCATCGGAATGTATGAATTTTTTCCCTTGCAAGAAGTTATTCAAATTTCTTGACGTTATTGGAACCAAATAATATTAGAAAACGTATGTAAATGTAAATTTCTCGACAACCCGAGAAATTGACCTCGAGAATTCTCGAGACCCGAGAAATTGAAAAGCTCGAGAAATCATGAACCCTAGATGGAAACCATTTAAATTAAAAGAAGAGGCTTTTAAAAACAAAAATAATTAATCGTCAATGGTTAATTAGAAAATTTCCCTATTCTTTTCTAATTATGAGACATTATATATATAAATTATATATATTTCAGCTATTTTTCAGCTACTATTGTACAGCAGGATGAATTGGCAGTATTAAATTGGGAGATAAACTATTTAAAATTTAAATATCCACCCTCAGAATGGAATTGTTCTAGATTAAATTTAAATTAAGCAACAGGCTTGATAACAAAGATATACAGTACTAGCTGTGCCCGCTGTTTCACCCATATGAATTTTATAGCCCATGTTATTCCGATGTATAAGCTATATTACTATAGTTTCATCAGAATCCGTTCAGTAGTTTATGTGTGAAAGAGTAACAAACATCTATCCATACTCACAAACTTTCACATTTATAATATGAAGTAATAAATTTTATGTATGTGTTAATGATGAGGGTAGAATCTCAAATTTACACAGACAGACAGTGACAACGACTTTGTTTTATACTTTGTAATGATAACTGGTTGCTCAGCTAATCTACACATGTAGGAGTCATCAAATTTAAGTTTTCAGAATTATTTTCTTATCAGATTTTTGTTTATGTATCTAGAATAAAATTAACAACCAACCTGATGGTTAATGGTAACCATCACTTATATACATGAAAAGATGCACTTAGTACACACTTTGCAATAATATTCAGGACATATTATTTTAAAAGTCTAGATTACACATGTGTATTATTCATACTGCTATTTACCACAATTTTATCTAATTATACCAACCTTTACATTTACAAAGGTAGACATAGTAAAGTTGTCTGTGTGGGTACATCAGTCCCGTTTATCTTAGAAATCAAGCAGTTTGCTTTGCAAATGTGTTTCCATTGAAATATGAGATCAGGCAGAAAAATTACAGGACATGAAGCATGACAACTCCAAGACCTGGAGGTCTTGGAGTTAGAATAGAAATAATTAAAAAAAAAATCAATTAATAGTGTACTTATTAAATGCAATATAGTTTTTATTGCCTAATATTTATAAAAACAATGTTATGAGATATAATAATAAGTATTTAAATGTAAAAATCAAAAGTACATACCAATTTGGGAGGGAGTGAGGCCCTTTTTGCCGAGTTTATATATTTGCTCTTTGACATCGTCAGCGCTTAGTTTCAGCCAGGTTGGCACACTACGGCGGTACGGCAACGCCGACTGGGATATACCCTTACTGAAAACATAAAAACGTATTCACAACTTGGCCATGTGGTCAAAGAAAAGTGGACACTTAGGTTATGTAGCTGTCACTAATCACTTTCTGGGAAAATCATTTGAAATATACACATCAGAACAAATGTAGAGTATTTCATTAAATAATAATTATAATAATATTACCCAGGTGCGTGCATACGACCCATGGTTGCGGCTTTTTACAAATTACAGTAGAAGCGACAACAACATGTAAAACCAAAAGAAAGATGGTGGAAGTGTTGCCAGATATATCCACAATTCGTCAGTAGTGTTGTTCTATAATGTTTACACTAACGTTATGGTTAATGTCGTAGTGAAAACTAGACTTTAAAATGTTTATTCTGTGACTCCATAGTTCTATGTATTAGAAATAATCTATGCAGTCTGACGTTTTCTTAAATGTCAATGTCAAATTAATAAATTTTATTATATTCCATATTCGAATTTTGTTTTCTTCTTTATAATTATAACGAAATGGCCAATAATTACGGCCTATCAGATGCCGAGTTTAATCTTATTAAACAGCAGGCTTCTCGGCGTGCCGAGTTGCGTAAAGAATTTATAAAGCAACGTACCAATCCTTGGAAACATGCTTCAGAGTCTGGCTATGTTGTGAGTATTCTTTCATTACGTAATTTTATTAAAGATTTATTAATAAACAAACAAATATTTAATTTAATTATACATATTTAACTATTCTAGTTTGATCCAGCTCTTCAGAAATTTATATCAATGAAAGTCACTCAGTTCGATAACTTTACTCCGAACCCGAGGACCAGTTTATTTGGATTTTGTGCTATAATTATTCCTATGGTTAGTTATGGATATTTAATCTGGAACGATCGTAACAAACAGGAACAGAAGATCAGGTCTGGAGAACTCCGTTACAGAGAAAGGAAGTTCAAATTTGCATAAATGTGTAAACATTTCATTCATATTTTGTAGTATATTGTGAATAATAAATAAATAATTTAAAATTAACATATGAATTAATCGTATGTTGTTTTATTTCAAATTTATTCTACGCGGATCTTTAAAAAAATACTGGCCAATATATAATTATAAAATAACATTTGATTCACTTTTTAAACCCTATTCACTGCTACTACACCATCGCTTTGACATTTCATGTACTTATTGTCTCTAGTAGCAAGATTTGTAGTTTTATTTTAATATAAAACTATTTGTAAAGTAGTGTAAGAATGTCTAAATATTGCTTTTCGGATATTGAATTAAAAATTATTTCGGATCAGATTGAAAGACGTGCAAAATATAGGCAAGAATTTCTGAAACAAAGAACTGATCCATGTAAACATGCTCAGCAAGCAGGTTATGTTGTAAGTAATAAATATTACAGTTTACAATATAGTCTATATTAGTAGCCTGTTAGTTTCTCCTGTTTTAACTTTGTAAGTTTTATATACATACACTAGCTGTCACGGCAAACATTGTTTTGCCTTAAAATAAAAAAAAATATAGGGGTGGACTACCCCTAACATTTAGGGGGATGAAAAATAGATGTTGGCCGATTCTCAGATCTACTCAATATGCTCACAAAATTTCTTGAGAATCTGTCAAGCCGTTTCGGAGGAGTATGGGAATGAAAACTGTGACACAAGAATTTTATATATATAGGATTAATGCGCACATTGTCTCTAAATTATATTATTAATATAATATTTGTGAATAAATAATATATAACATTTAATGTAACAATTGTAATAAAATGTCTGATTATGCTATTAGTGCAGCCAGGACTCTCATTCCATTATCAACAAAGATTAATGGCATTATTCACTCCACCCTTGCTCCCCAGGAGGTTTGGCTTAAAAGCATTATCAATGTTAGCAGATTTTTTCAAGTAGAGCAGGATTTAGTTACTTTCATAGTAATTAAAAACTAAATATCCCATCAGGGAACTTGTCACTTTAATGACATGAGATCTCTGTGTGGTAGATATTTCTAAGTTAATCCTAAAACCTCTATAGCAATTAAATATCGTCAAGGTAAATTACCTAATAATAATATTATTCATATTATTATTATAGGTAAATACAATTTTTTTTTCTGTTTCATACCACTTCCCAATTGAATTATTGAACAGGTTTTAATGAAATTTGACTTGAGGATAGATTGAAAAATGATGATGCACAGAGATAAAAGATAATCTAAGGGGAAGGGGATTGTCGGTAATGTGGACTGATGACTCCATTAACTAGCAATGTACCATGTCAGATCGTCCTCCACCTGGTTCACCCTGGAAGCCATTGTGATAAATTTGTAGTGAATCTGTCACGGTGGGTTAACTGACTTGATGTCATGCTCATATCATCAGCCCCGCCAGCGTAAACTGTTACTGTAGGTGAATACACCATACCGTTACCATTTAAAACAAAAAAGTTAACATATTTATGAATGGTTTGTGGTTTCAGTTTGATCCAGCACTTCAGAGATTTATATCGATGAAAACATGCCAGTATGATCACTTTCAAGCGAATACTGGAACGGTTTCGAAGGCAATATTATTTTTGGCTCCATTTTTTATCTACGGATATCTTGTTTGGGAGAACCGAACTAAATTTGAAAAGGATTGCCGCAGCGGCAAACTGGTGTACCGCGATCGGAAGTTTAAATTCCAATAAAATAGCTATTGTTGAATGTTTCTACTCGAATTATTCTAACGCTGTTAGACGTAGCTGAGCTTTACATTTTCACCGTACGAAAATGGTGTACAAGGTATTACAAACTCGCGGAAAACCGAACCAAAAATGAAAAAGAATGCAGTAAACTGAGAAGTTTAAATTTCAATAAAATGGTATAGTATTATTTTTTTTATTTCGCAATTATTTTTAAGGTATGTAAAAGGTCCGATGACATTCCGGTGATGGAAACACTGTTAACAAACCGTCAGATGACTTTGATGGTTTGTTAACAGTGTTTCCATCACCGGAATGTCGTGACATAGGAAAATTAAAAGCAAAATTGTTTCGTGTCGGTCGAGAGGTTTACTTCGTCTAATGTTTATTTACAGAAAAGAAAACATAATTTTTATAATATTTATTTCATAGTAACTTACAGATACACACCTTTAAACATCAACCATATCATACATCAATTACATGTATACATAAACCTTAACAATACATAGATAAGATAAACTTTTTTTAACGATCATCAAGAGATTTGTCTCTGCTTATAACCAAATCATCAAACTTGACCATGTATGTGGTGCCTTTGTGCCAATGAGCAGTAACTTTAGCGGGCTGAAAAATAATGCAAGGAACATTAAAACGAGAACTAGGAATACACAAACATAGTATACAACATTGGCATAACAATAGGGTGTCAGAGCCGGCAAATCACGACATCATGCTCATAATGAAATAAATCAGAATATCTCTTTATTCGTGTAGGTCTAACTGATGGTATATTTGATATATCAGAAGTGTTTATACCTTCTGATAAGTCACAATCGTCAGGAAAGTCTGCCCGCACTTTGGCATTAATGACATTGTGCATTATTGTCCAAATATTTAAATTTAGTTCTGAATTTCAATTAATTATTGTAATTGACTTGTATATGGTTATAATGCGTATAATATAATTGCGGGGTATCACATGTCTTATGTTCTTTTAATTAATAACATCTTTCATGTACCATGTGAGAAGCAATAAATAAATAAAATAAATTTTAGACTGTACAAACAGTAAGTTGAGTTCAAGAGATCACTTACAAATCCACTCTTTGTTAGTACAGCTTCTATAATACCAGCATTGAATGTAGCACAGTTGAGTGAGCCTTTGTCTTTTGGTACACTAATGAATTTGTTTACCTGAAAAAAAAAATGTTATTAAGAACATACAATAAAAAATACACATGCTAATTCCAAATTTTATATATAGAGCACACTACTTCTTCAATATCCAATATAGAGTATTTAGGCATTTTTATCAAGAAAATATATAAAAACCAAATTGTTTTTCAAGCTGTCTAGTTACAGCAGGGGTAGACGGGTAGTGAGTAGTGGATATTGCTATATTATTGTACTTTTTTTTCTGGTTTTGAGTATTCAGTAGTTAAGTACAATGCCTGTCTGCACCACAAGGATTTCTATTTGTAAGTTTCTTTTTAACATCATTTTTAATTTGTGAAATGGAGTATCAGCCTGTGTTAATAATAAACATTAGTGATGTAGAATAATATGAACATGAAGTCAGGTATAAGAGTTTACAGAGGTGACCATGTGAAAGTCCACCGGACTGAATTCATTATCAACTATGGGCCCAATTATTAACAATCTGGTATGAGAGTAACTTTTTATATAAGTATGGGATCTATATAATATATATATGTATATTATAGATCCCAGTATTAGATTTTTTTTTAATTACATATACAGTAAGATTTTTTTTTCTGATATCACTGTCTCCGGTATATATTTTTTAAAGTTTGATACATATAATTAGTACAGATTGACAAACTTACTAGTGCATCCTTTTCAATTATGTAATATGTTCGCTCATCATCATTTGCATGTTCCAATTTATCTGCTTCCTTTCCAAACAGAGCCTGAAATAAAAAGTAGTGTTAATGAGTGTTTTGAAAGTCAAATATATTTGCTTGAATTAATTATTTTGTGAAAGTCCATTTCATTACTTAATGGATATTTAAGTAATACAAAATTATAGTCAAAATACTTCATTCATATAGCAATCTCATCAGAATGAACATCAAAATTTCTTATCAACAATTCATACAGTGTATAGTAGGAACAGAAAGAATAACAAATTTCATCCATGGTCTATAGATCAAATTTGTTATTTAAATAACTTCTTCAAGTTATATTAACTTCTTCAATCAAGAATGAATGTCAACAAACTCAATTTTTATATTAGTTTGTAGGGCATTAACTGACCTATATAAATAAAGACCTGACAGTGTTTCTAGATGTATGTGTAAGTATAGAAGCCAATATCACACACTTCCAGTCCATAAGAAAGTTGGCATAGAAATGATAGAAAATGTATTTTTTTTTATATTTCAAATGTCTATATACCTTCCACAGTGTAGATTTTACAAACAGAAGCATGTTCAACAGCTTTATTTCACGTTTACTATTTCTTTCCCTTACAAAATATAGATCTAACAATCTGGTGCCAACATCTTGACCAATTTCAGACAACCTGCAAAATATTGTTTTGGGTTATTACTTGTTAGAATAAGTAATGCACGTTGTCAATGCTTCTCAAAAACGTGTTGCCTTACTTGTTTTGTAGTTCTTGGATAGAATGTGAACGGTTCTGACAGTACTGGACTATTTCAGAAAATAAAAGAGCATAAACAGCCAAAGAAATTTCCCCTTTTCCTTTGCTCAAAGGTTTATCGAGAATTGACGATTTTGAACGACTTGATGACATGTTTGATTCCTTAAAATGTGTATATTAATTTAGATTTTTATAATAATAAATAAATAATGTGTCAATAAAATTTTTGAATAAATATTCCGATTCACAATTTCACATGTTAATTAAAGATGAAATATGAACCATATCAATTAATACGATAATTACAATTACAGATTAACGAATTAAAATATGTGGAATGTTTTCCATTTGTTAAATACAAAATTTATAAATCAATAAAATTATTGAAATAAATAATCAACACAACACTGTCAAAATGTTAATGTCAAGAATTTGCAATGACAATTTATATACTATGACGTCTATAACTACTACAGATTAAATAGGAATCGGTACAACAACTAAAGATTCCATTATAACATAGACAATCAAAAAGTGGATTATGAAAGTGCGTCTTGATTGCAGAGTACAAACGAATAAGTAAATACTGTTTATTAAAAAATAATGTCCAACATCACCGATTTTGTTACGTTATATGATACACCAGTATCATATTGGGTAATATAATCCAAATACTAGCAACCCTAAAAGTATCCCCATGTGACAGAATATTAAATCACAATTCTCTTTCTTTATAATGGCTTGGCTCGTTCGTATATTTGCCAAAGGCAATTGGCAACCGATAATGGGTAAATAAACATTTAAAAAAAAATTGAAGTATGTAATATTTTTATTATTTAGAGTTCCGAATTCAAAATCACAAAAAGGATATTGCGTAATTTTGCAATTTGTCAATTAGGTATCGTTCGCCTAACAATAGTAGGATTAAAAAATTCGAGACTACTTTTTTTTACAAGTAAAATTCGGAAATCTGAGCTTGTTTAAGCTTACTTAATGATACGCAAATACTTAGCAAGGCAATTTCTAGTCCCTATTTCACAATCCCCTTGTACCTACAAGGTACCATTTTTAGTTTGAAAAAATGTGGAATCGCGTGGACTTCGACTTGAGATCATAGTACTTACATTGCTACTAATAAGATTATTAGTCCACATTACTAACAATCCCTTTCCCCCTCTCTAAGTACTTATTATATCTATGTATTTAGAGCAAGATAAGAAATCGTGAACAGCAAACTTATGCTATTTCGGATGAGTCTGTGTGACATGAATAGTATTATCTCCTCAAGTACATACATAATACAAAGTAGGTTACAAATATGGACAAGGGTGACGAGTTATATGATTCTTTTAAGAACTAATTTTATTATTTGTAACAAAGAATAAAATTAGTTCAATTATAAATGCGAAGATTTTTATTTGTAAAATGGCCTCGGTAGTCTGTCGGTTTAACACATCGCCTTACATCCGATGGTCGCGGGTTCGATTTCTCGTACATTACAAATGTTTGTATTCATGAGTATGATTGTTGGTATTGATCTGAATGTTATCTGTATGTGTTCGTAAAAGTATTTAAGTATTTCTATAAATTGTTTAGTAACCATAGTAAAAGTTTTGCTTTGGTTGAGATGGCGTTAAGTGAATTGTTATAATTATTGATTATTGACTGTTATCCACTAATTACCCTGTTTTTTTAGATAATAAATACGTAAAAAATGTTCAACTTTGTGATACAATCTAGTTTCATATCAAATTTCAATAACATCGGTGCAGTCGTTTAGTTTTAAACTGGTAACAAACGCATAGACATAGACATGCAACTCGCATTTATATATTAGTATGGATGCGGGTATCGAACCCGCGACAATCGTAAACTAAGCTAATCCCCTAACCACTCATATCATCACAAGTCGTACAACCACACATCGCATTTATATATTAAGTATGGGTGTAGTAATCGAACCTGCGACAAACGGAAATAATGCCAAACCGCTGGATAAATTTGTTCGTTATTTTGTTGCATTGTTATGCGTAGTTTGCTAATTATGTTACTATCACCACATATTAATGTATAACTATTACCTAATACTCATTTCTGAGTAAAATGTATTATACTTACATATATAACCGAACAGTGAAAGGTACTTCTTAATTACGGTCATATAATTAACACTAATAATTATTAATTTACGCGTTCACAACGAGCAATAACAAAAGGTATAATAAAAACATGATAACCAGTTTAAACTACGACGTAATAAATGGTCTATGTACTAATAACGTTTTTTTTGTATGATAATGAAATGGTGCACCCGCCTGCGCTAACGGTTTACGCTGGCGGGGCACCAGTGGAGATTGATAAGATGAGCATGAGGTCATGTTAGTTGGCCCGTCGTGTCATATTCACTTGGAATTTATCACGATGGTTTTCAGGAGGAACCGCGTGGAGGTCAACCTAACATGGTACCTATATTGCTAGCAATGGGGCTTACTAGTTCCCATTACTAACAGCCTACTTTCCATTCCTATAACTTTTTTTATATATATATAGGAATAAGAATAAGAAATTGCTGCCAATCAAATTACCTACATGAAAGAAATACATAAAGTATACTTACGACCTCGATGGTCTAGCGGTTTAGCACACCGCTTTACTTCCGATGGTCGTGGGTTCGATTCCTCGCACAGCACAAACATTTGTCATGACTATGATTGTTTGTGTCGGTCTGTGTGTTTTCTATGTATATTATGTATGTATTTAAAAAAAATTATCTAAGTATATATCAGTTATTTAGTACCCATAACACAAGCTTTAGTTAGCTTAACTTTGGTCTAGATGGCGCTGTGTGAATTGTCCTGAAATTATTATTAATTAAAGGCGGCAAAAGGACCCGGTTCAGCGTATGCCGACAGGATGCTCGAGTGCGGCTCTGGTTTAACCGGTAGGAGATTAACGAGTTGATGGTAAGTGATTACCACCGCCCATGAGCACCTACAAACCACTCCGATCGATCCTCCGTTCAATTTAAACAGAAATCGAAATTAGGACGGCCTGACCTTAAGTTTGTAACCCTAGCAGTGCCCTTAGACTAAAGTCGTATCCGTCAGGTAGGAGTTGACATTCAGCCGCTTCACGCTTCTTCCACTTCCGAATTTGGAGTGCCATTTGCACTCGCTCCTTATTGTTTGGTGTAACTATAGACCTTAAATTTGATACCCAAGCAGTGCCCTTCAGGTATTGTTCTTCCACTTCCGGTGAAACTATAAAAGCCAGATACAACCAACAGGAGTAGAAAGCTACCAAGGAGCAGGGCATTGTCGACTATATACGGACCATGAAAATACTGATATGTAGTGTATACTGTGTGGAGTCGAGTTTCAAGGTGTTTGTGGCTCGGGTCCCCAACAACATGCTTCCATCCCATCACCATCACTATCACCTTCATGAAGGAGGAAAGGTGTGGTGTATCGGCGCTACCGTGGCATCGCTATTATTTACAGCCTATATGTTATTTTGATGTATTAGGTACACATCAAAGCTATATTGCTGTAAAGTTTCATCCAAATTTGTTCAGTAGTGTTTGTGTGAAAGAGCAACAAACATCCATATATCTGTCCATACTCACAAACTTTCGCGTTTGTAATTATATAGTAAGATTGTATAATATATTTACATTTCTAATGACATTTGATATAATATTAAAATATGCAGACAAAGACGCGGGTAACAACTAGTCTTACTAATATTATAAATACTAAAATATTCTGACTATTGGTGGATAGATGGATGTTCTTTACTCCTTCTCGGAAAAACTTATGAACTAATTTTGATAAAACTAAAGTACCATACCTTGTAGGTATATCAGAAAAATACATAGGCTATATATTAAATTCGAGTGAAACCGCGGGCACAGCTAGTTTAATAAAGTCGTTTGTTGTTATCTGAGTTTCAATTAACCTTGTTTAATATCAAGATCACAAGTGCTGTCTCCTATTCTCATTCATGTGGAAATTAATTCATAAACAATGTGACACGTGGAGCTGAGATATAATACTATATAGATATATATTAATATAAACATGTGCATATTAAAGATAATATGGGATACGTTACCTTTTTACCTTTTTACACTATATAAATGATAATATGGGGCATCTTATCTTTTATATCCCCATACTAATATTATAAAATCGCAATAAAGAAAACCGTAAAACAAATTCTTCCTAAATAGGTACCCGAGTCAATTTCAACCACCAAGAAGTCTGCTTTGCTGTATCAGTTGTACTGTACCATAGGGCATGTACAATTACAGGGTTATCCTAATATCATATGATATCCTGGTCCTTTGGAATGCCTAAATAGGTACCCGAGTCAATTACAACGACCAAGAAGTCTGCTTTGATGTTTCAGTTGTACTGTACCATAAGCCGTGTGTAAGATTAAGGCCAGATATATTTTTATATCATACGACAAACGAGCATGCGGCTCACCTGATGGTAAGTCATTTACGCCGCCCAAGCACCCGCAACACCAGGGGAATTGCAAGACGTTGTCGGCCTTTTAAAAAGAGTATTTTCTTGAAGGTTTCAATATCGTATTGGTTCGGAAATACCATTGCTGGAAGGTGATTCCACAGTGTGGTTTCAGACAAAATAGTTTCTAAAACCTCACCGTGGAAGACCGCCATTCATCCAGATGATCAGGATGGTATTTCAGTTTCTGTCGGGTGGTAAAATTGTAAGAAGATCAACAGTTTTTATTAATCCGAACAAACGAGAACATGCGGCTCACCGTGATATATGCAGAAAATGCACTGAGATGCAATATCACGCCTCAAAGCCAATGGATCGAGTCGAGTTGGTAGTGAAAATACAGGATAAGGGTCTTAACATTTTACATCTTTAGTATAATAACGAATTAGTGATATCCCGATGGCTGTAGTGCTATTCATGCATATAGGCGGTTACCATTTTCCATCAGGTGGAGCATCAGCTTGTTTGCCATCATTACATAGTATAAAACAAAGTCGCTGTCGCTGTGTATCCGTCCCTATGTATGCTTAAATCTTTAACTACGCAACGGATTTTGAAGCGGTTTTTTTTAAATAGATAGAGTAATTCAAGAGGAAGGTTTATATGTATAATGTAGACCCGGGCAAATAGTTCGTTCAAAGAGTACAAAACATGCAGAACGGTTGAAAGGACCTCCATGAAAGAACTTGAAGATGGATCTTTTAAAGGACGGCGTATTTTTTTTTTTTTTTTTATTGGGTTGTTTGGGTCTTGTCAGATGTTTACATCTTTAGCACTGCGAACATAGATCGATTAGTGATATCCCTTTTCAGAGTGGCTACCTAGACCCGTCAGGGACAAGAATTGAAGGATATTCTTAGGCGGTTTTTTTCCATCGGGGAGCATAAACTTTCCAAAGGAGATATTTCGTTTATGCATAAAACACAACCGCTAGGATGTGAAGCGGCGTTTCCTCTTCAGTTTGGCAGAATCTTTAGATACTTGTCGTGCATACGGATTTTGCCATATGCTTGTTCAATTTGATAGTGTCCTTCAAGAGGAAGGTTTATATCATGCATATGTTGTTTTTACTCAATTGCAAATCTATTCGTATTTGGTCAAGAAGTACAATAACATGCTTTTGAACGTATGAAAGGACCTCCATGATTCAAGAACTTGAAGTTTGGATCTTAATTAATAAAGGACGGCGTACGTTACTGTTTTTAATGTGAAAAAAATGAACAACGTCACGGTAAACGCTTAGTATTTTATAAAGGGTATAGTCGTTCGTCGAGCGTAGTGATAACCAGCAAATTTCTCATGGGAGAGTCCGTTTCCGCTATTAAATCGATAATGGATTTGTGATAATAATGAGATATTAACTTATCTTTGCATAAACAAATATAGACTCTCGATAATTCATATAGCGTATTCTAACTGTTAGCACATGAAACCTCTTTTTTGATATAAAAGCCATAAAATAAGTGTAAAAAAATAAATTAAAAACTTCTTTTCTTTCTGTCAAGACAGTCTATCATTTAAAATCAATAAAATTAATAATAAATTAATAACACTAACCTTTAAGCAATCAATGCCTATGCAGGTTAGAAGATTTAGAAGTAATAAAATATCTGAAAAAAAAATCGTTTCGTCCTATGTCGAACATTATAGTATTTTGACTGAGTTTAGTAGGTGAAAATCTAGTACAATCTTCTTTCTTTTTTTCATCTCGTACAAGGATGACATTGACATCGTACTGAAGGTCAGAAATATCGTATTTGTATGAGAATGCTCGTAAGTTTGGCATATACCATATACCACTCAATACCATCGTACTAAACAAAAAGTCTATATATATTGTGTACTAGCTGACCCGCGCAACTTCGCCTGCATCACACTTACATGACATTTATAATTATATTTCGCCCAATTTACATATCTTGTTAAATTATAGTCTATATTTTATTCTGATGTACATATAAGCTATATTACTGTAAAGTTTCATCAAAATCCGTTAAGTAGTTTTTGCGTGAAAGAGTAATAAACACCCAACATAATATTAGTAAGATTCACTAAAAATGTATGTATGTATGTCTTTACATTTTAGTGAATCTATATATATATATATATATATATATATATATATATATATATAACTTAAAGGTGACTGAAATAGTGGTCTATCAACGCACAGCCCAAACCACTGGACGAATCGGGCTGAAATTTGGCATGCATGTTTAATTGATTAATTCTACCCCCAAGGGGATGAAAGTTTGTATGAAATTTTGTCAATTTTAAAGCGATCGGGCTGAGACTTTGCATGCATAAATATACTATGACGTAGGCATCCCCTAAGAAAGGATTCTGATAAATTCCATAAATTAACGCGAAGCCGCGGGCAAAAGCTAGTACATAATATATATAGACAAATACAAATACATATAATTATAAACAAATTCATCTTAATTCCGCAAATTGTATCCGCGTACTGGAAAGCGATGTAGCGTGCTAAACTGCTACACCACCAAGGTCGACAAGATAATGATTAGTAATCTAAATAATTAATATTTAGGATTGTTAGGCTAAAGGTCGTATGACAAACGAGGCCGACTGTTATCAATTAACTTTATTTAAATATGCATGTACTGTGCATGCTTTTGCAGGTACAATATTTAACTTAGAATAGGGTTAATAATGTTATTGGATAATTAGAACGAATTGAAATAATATTTAATTAATTACATCGGAGATTTAGTGTTCAATTCTTTGGTATCTACTTTACATAGTATCAGATAAGAGTTCATTACTTTAGGACATGTAACAGTATATATTGTATCGAGTATAATAATAAATAGGTTTATCTTTTATATAAAACAATCTTACAATGTATAAAAAGTTTGTGGGGAAATTATATTCAAAAATTATCTTCATACATACAATTTTAATATACTTTCAAGTATATTATTTATCCATCTACAAATTAAGTCACATGTAAAAACATGTCCCGTCAGCTGCAGACATGTACCACTCCCTATCCCAACTATAATTATACGAATCAGATCTTTATGATCCTAGACAGAATGGGCATTTTTAAATGGTAATCATTAATAGGTAATATTTCGCGTTTTAATCATTAATTGTGACATAGTTCTGCTTGTACCTTGCACTGCAATGTGCAATGTACAAGTTACGGAGTAACAATGCGTGACAATGTGTGACCTCGTGTCAATGTGTGTGACAATGTCACACATTGTTCCTCCTTGACATGTGACATAATTTATAGTTGGCCGGTAATGAAAAACACATTATTTATAATAGATGCCCAAAATTCCCATTAAATTTTTGTTTACCACCGTGACCAATATTGCTAAAAACCTTATTTAGTACAAATTTTATTTATGGCCAAATAATAGAGTATTTATCCTTATAATTATTTAATCTATTGAATATATTATATAGTTAAATATACATTTAGGTACTGATGACTATGCCATTACAAAACAAAAGAATATTAAAAATATGCATTAAACCGTAATTAGGATTATTATTATTATTGTTCATGTAATTAGTCACAAATTATTTTAGTTCTGCAGTCTGATATTTATATTTTTTTATCAATTGCATGTATTATGAGCTTGGCAGTATATAAACTATAATTTGACCTATTTTTTTTTATATTTCATTAAGAACTATTCTTTTATTGTATAGAGTTTTATGCATGTAATTAAAGTAATATTTGATTGCATAATTTCTTGTACCTTTACTAAACACTTATGTATGAGTGTATAGTAATAGTATTAAAATATGTTACAATTTATTTTTGAAAATTTTCATCCATAATAATAATAAATAGAGAAAAAAAAGATTAAAAAGATTGATAAAATAAATAAATACATTATGACATATACATCTGACCTTAAACAGTGCAAATATGTATACCGAGTTAGTTTGAATTAACTACATATTGTTAACAGTCTATGAGCTAAACAAGTCATAACAAAAGAAACTTATTTTTTACCACAACATGATGGCAAAGTGCCACCTATATTTGGCATTTCTAAAAACAAAAATAACAAATAACAATAACAAACTACTATATAGGACATGTCAGACAATTTAAAATAACCCAGTATACTTTATTATCCATAAAACTATACCATTTTCTATAAACCTATTTTAAGTATCAATGGCTGTAATCCTTCTCTTTCTAATGACCAATTCCATGAAAGAAAAAGAAAGGGATGATAGACATTGCTAAAATAGATTAGTTAGACCTTCAATGCTTTAATGAATATGGGCTATACATAAATTACGTCACATGTTATGGGGAGAGAGGGGGTCAAAAAAGTGTGACAAGGTGTGAAAAAGGTAAAATATGTGATGTCTCTTTTAAAATGTAATACATGTAGTGTACTAAAACAGAGTTTTGATTTAATAATTTCTTGTTGCAAAATGTCATGTCACACTAGGGGGTAGGGAATGTCACAAATAGGATGAACTGTGACAAGGACTGTGACACATGTGAGTTAATTTATGGATATCCTCTAAGGATGTGGATCTGCATCTGTTCCTTAACTATATATAAAATTACTCTTAAACTATACTATGCTAGCTGTGAGTCATATGTACATTGTTATTTATTACCTAACAACAAGTGGACTGGACAGTTTCGGCTTCTAACAAATTAAAATCCATACCATTGGGACGGTTGAAGCCTGTCTTAATGCCATCCCAGCCATCCTCAACTTTGTATTCTCCTGTTTGTATACGGTTGTAAACCTCTTGAGCAACTAGTACGAAGGCCTCTTCGACATTTAAACCACTTTTTGCCGATGTCTCCACATGATGTAGTCCTGTAAGTAATTATTTATTTCAATATACCATAATTTAACACAAAATTTATGGATGGAATAGGAGAGGATGACTAAAGAAAAGATGGATGGATTGTAAGAAAGACAATATGTATGAAAGAAAGCTATGCTTAGATATATGATACATGACGGCATGGCATAGATATATGATGGCAGATAAGAATCAATGGAAAAGGATGACATACTGCACTGACTCCAAATTCTGGTATAAAGTTAAGGCAATGATGATGATTCAAGAAATTTTTTGGCAGAGTAAAGCGGAATTAATATCAGCCACTCATTTAAAAATAAACAACTTAGTCTCTATTAACATAATAATCATACAAATATCTCTATTGGAAATATAAAATCGAACCTTTTCTCATTCGAAAAGTAAAAATACTTGACCATATTTTAAATATTTCGATTTTTTTGTAACATGCATATTCCATAGTGAGATAGGATATAAATTATACTAATATACAGGAAACAAACTTATGAGCACTTCAAATAAGCAGGGGCAACTATTTATTACAAAGACATACCATTCTCTTCAGCAAACAGCCTAGCTTCTTCACAGGTGACTTCTCTTCTGGCACTGTTCTTGTTATCACCAACCAAATCAATTTTACATCCCACCAGAGCAAACACTGGCCGGTGTGGCTCTATATGCCTCTTTGCCTCCATCATCCAAAGAGGTATGTGCTCGAAACTAGACCTATTACACACATCGTACACTAACAAAGCGCCCACGGAATTTCTGTAGTAAGACTTGGTAATAGATCTGAATCTCTCTTGACCAGCTGTGTCCCATAGTTGTAATTTAATTCTGGTACCATCTTGTACTTCGATAATCCTTGCGAAGAAATCTACGCCAACCGTTGGATCAGATAACTGCAAATAAAAATATATTAAGTACCAAAATATTACCATAAACAACACGAAAACAATGGAAATGATTTTACCTCCGCGAATTTCCCGTCCGTAAAATACTTCAATAGAGAACTTTTTCCCACTGTACTATCACCGATTAATATTAGCCTAAACTGGTAGTCGAATATCGGATCAACCATTTTATTATTTGTGCTTTCAATAACATAAAAATGAAATTGTAGCAGTGAGGGTCTCGTCAAAAATTACGTATTAATATGACATGACAAATATAAACTGTGTGATTGAATGAATGACCAACCACAGATCACAGACTGGAAATGACAGTCAATGTTACCCGCATAGTCCCACGAAAACGCCTAGTAAAAAAACCGTCATTTGTAAGAAATTATCGGTTGTTACAAAGAAAAAATAGGTTTTATGTAGCGAGTGTTCGATTAGCGTTAGGATACGTAGTTGAAGAGAATATTGTGGACGGTTCGTTTTAAAAAGTAAAAAAATGTAATGGTAAATTGGTAAATTTAAAAAAATTAAAATTATACGAATATAAAATGCTATATTTTAAATATCATAGAAAAAAAATAGTACAATAAAACTTCAACAGGTTATCAAACAGTTACAGAGAATTGGGTAGTTAAAGAGTTTTGTGGTTTATACCCTGTTCATTTTTTAATGTTGGCGACTCTTCTGTTAGTCTGTATAAACAAGAATTTAAAGCCGTAAATCAAATTAATAAAAAAACTATAGGTAGATATAATTTATTGAATAACGACACTGAATGTTTTATTCGTTTCACCAAAAATGATTTAAAAAATCTGTAATTTTAAAAGTTTCCAATCAAAATAGGTGTCTAGTTATTAATTAATTCGATGTGTAGGGTTTCTTAGTGTTTTTATCTTTAATTTAATGTAGTGAAATATATTGACACTTTCTTCACCGCTCCTGTCGTATCGTACAGCGCCGCATCACGTAAAACTACAATTTTTAATTTAATGAAAAGTTATTGTGATAATAAAACGTTTCGCAATAGAGCACTACTTACGTGGTTTATGACCAAATCTGGAATTTCAAAAACCAATTCTTAAAATACCAAAAAAATAATAATGGTTTTTAGGTTTTAACATTGTAGACCAGTATGAGTTTTAGCCAAGGTTACAAAATGAAAGAAAGTGTGACTGAAATCAATGAAAACAAAACCAGAGCTACCCCTGTTGGTAAGTAATTTAAATATTTTTATACTTTTAAAGATAAGTTACATTGAACCTGTTGCTATTCATGGGTTTACTTACGCGGCACTATGTATTTGCTGTTCCCACAAGATATTTTAACAACCCCTTCTTAATAGATATGTACTTTTTTTCTCTTTTTATCGCTCCGAGATATGTAGTTACGTTATACAATATATCTATGTTCCAAATTTAAATTTTCTAGGCTTAGTAGTTTTGCTTGTGTATTGATTGTAAGTCAGGATAAACAATATGTTAAAAGTACTCCAAAAGAAGTTTACCATTTTGCACCTCTATAGGTATTATAAGCAATTTAGTTTTATGTATTTAATTATCAATAATAATACATATTAAATGTATTTATGATAATTAAATATATATTTGTATCTTAAAATAGTATAAAACAAAGTCACAGCCAGCTATTTGCTTGTCTTTTAAATTATGCAATGCAAATTCATATAATTATTATGTTCATGTTCAGTTCATTATTCTCTGCATTCTAAATATTGCAGATATTAGCAGTAAATGTTTTTTCAAAAGTGCTCAATTTTAATTATATTTGTATAAAAAGTATTTTACATTTCATCATTATTCTCTGCCTTCTAAATATTGGAGACATTTAGCAATATATGACTTTAGAAAAGGCATTTATTGCTTAATGTCTTTTCAAAAGTGCTTAAACATATTTTATATTTTATTGAATTTTATGTGTTTATATCTCAACAAAAGGATTGTTGGTGTTAGTAAATACAATAAAAAAGGTTTTAACTTAGTTATAACCTTACATAGCAAATTGAAAAAAGCCACAACTATAAAATTCCACTATGTATTTTGAACCATGACATTCGCGAACTCATTAAAATGGCTGCCACCACAGCCATTTATAATAAAGAAGAAGAAATAATTTGAGAGAAATGTCTGTCTTTATTTATTAATTTATTGCCTGAAGTATAAATCTATAATGCTAATACTTTTAAAGTACATAAGATGTAATGAGTTTTACTCTTAATACTCACATATATTTCTTACTGTGTGTTACAAATAAAGTATATTTTATCTATCTATCTACATCTTATGTACTCTAAATAAATCTCTTGACATTCAAGAGTATGTTTTGATGGAGCTAATAATCAGATTTTTTGATGTTATTGGCATTTTGAGATGAGGCACCTCCAGTAAGGTGCCATCTCATTTACTTTCTTTAGATGTTGGCAAGGCGAGCCCTTTTTAATCTAGATGAACAGTTATTTATATCCCGTAGTTTTGAAGCTAACTGGTTCTTATGGCCGGCTAATCTGTGTTTATATCTTCCACAGGCTTTCTGTATCTCTCCTTTTACAGTTGGAATTTCTAGATATGTATGTACTTCAATGTTTTTTATGAACCAAGGAGCTCTGGCTATGTTTTTCTGGTTAGGTTTTTAATATCTTGTTTTGGAAGCGCTGAAGAATTTCTATGTTAGAGTGTGGAGCTGATCCTCATAGTTCCATCGCATATGTCCACACTGGTTTTATGATGCACTTATAGATGAGGAGTTTGTTTTCCAGACTTAATTTAGACTGTTTACCTATCAGCCAGTACATGTCTTTAAGTTTTCTATCTGCTTGGTTTTTTTTTTTATTTTATGTGGTCTCTCCAAGTAAGTCTTCTGTCCAGATGCATTCTGAGATATTTTACCACTGTTTGTTGTGGTAAAATAGTTCCATCTAAGGATACTGGTGTGCAATTTCTTTTTTCAGTGAGAATGTGATATGGACCGACTTTGAGGTGCTCACTTGAATTCTCCACTGATTCAACCATTCTTTAATTCCATTCAGATGTTTCTGAAGCTCTGTAGATGCAATATGTGGGTCTTTATTACATGACAGCACTGCTGTGTCGTCTGCATATGTTGCTGTAACTATACCATTAGTAGTAGGAAGGTCAGCAGTATATATTGTATAAAAGTATAATACAGTATAAAACAAAGACGCTGGCGCTCTCCGTCCCTATGTATGCTTAAATTTTTAAAACTATGCAACGGATTTTTGGTTTTTTTAATAGATAGAGTGATCCAAAATGTTTATATGTGTAATACATGTACACCCGTGCGAAGTCGGGGCGATTAGCTAGTAAAGAAATAAAAAAGGAAACAAAATTAAATAAATTCCTTTAAGTAGTTACTGGAATGGTAAATGGTTTTGTATGCAGTAGGTCTGAGAATCGGCTCCTATTTGTTTTTCATACCCTTAAATGATAACGATTGTCCACCCCTAACATTTTGTTTTAATTTTTTGAATAAAATCTTGTTTTCGTATTTTTTATAAGTTATAAAAAATACATACAAGCCCTAAAATTCCACCCTTCTAACCTACACCCTCAATCCTAATTTTTTAATAGCGATTTTAATTTATATGGCAAAACAACCTTTGCAACCAACAATCAGCTAATTAATTTATGAACTTGAAAATTATATCATGCATTTTTTTATATTCACAGCAAAGGTGGCGCCCGAAGTAAAACAGAATGCTGATGCGGACACAGAAATCACTAAAACATGTGCAGTGTTGGGCTGCGAGGATTTCAAAAATTTGGACGCCGAGTCGTTTTTTAGGTAATCTGATTTATAAATATACTAGCTGTGCATGCGACTTGACCAAAAAAGAAAAAATGATAATACTTCCATTCCATACAGTGTATCATTTCCCTATTCAACCCTTTTTTTATTTATATTTAATCGGCAGCATAAAATATAAGTTTCAAAATTCTAGATTTAAAAAAGATGATATTTACATACAATCTTACATCCTCCCCTTGCAACCCCTTTTTTATTTATATTAAATCACCAGCCTAAAAAATAAGTTTCAAGCTTCTAGCTTTAAAAATGGCAATCTTTTATCTCCCCTTTTCATCTCCTTACAACCCTTTATAACATTTCGGTCGCTTATGGCTATTGTAAAATATGGAATGGGTTATCTTTTTACAGAGTCCATGTATGTATTGTTAATTTATTATATTTTAAATGTATTGTATATGCATGTGCATAAATAAGTCTAAGAAAGAATCAATCTGCTTTCAGATTTCCCGAGGATTCGAACTACAGACAGATATGGACGGACCTGACCGGGCGTAACAACTGGACGCCAACAGACTATTCTTACATCTGCATCCAACATTTCTCGGTGGATTGTTTCATGTGTGACGCCAACGACAGTATGGTGCTGATTGACAGTGCTGTGCCATCATTGAAACTGCCCGGACATGTTCTTGAGGTATTTAGAGTGCAAAATTCAAATTTAAATTATCTTTATTCATCTAGATCTATTACAGACCCTTATGATATGTCAAATCTACCGTCAGGTCGGAATCGATATGAGAAGAACTGCCAAGAAACTCAGCTTGTATTCTTTTCAAATAAATGTTGTACATCTTTACAATAATACGGATTCATTTTTAAATTCAAATTTGGGAGAATAGAGTGACCACCAGCATATGCTATTGCTACAGAAATAGTCTAATCAGTGTTCGTAACCCGAACAGACCAGTCCGCACAGGCAGCACCCGTTCACGAGTATGACGAGTGCTTTCTAAATACCCCATTACACGTATAATAATATTGCTCATTATCATTATTATTAAAAATGTTGGGTGAAGGACTGAAAAATTGTATAACTTATGTTGTACAACAAAATTGCTCGATATTACTAAGGTAGGATTAGAAAATTGTACAAATTATGATTAAAAAATATTTTATTTAGCAAGTTTTTTTTACTTCTGGCAGGATCAGTCTATTGCACAACTTCCCCTTCCCTGTAATTGTTAGTAATGTGGACTAATCTCATTGCTAGCAATGTACCAGGTTACCTGTCAGGTTGACCTCCACGCTGTTCCCCCTGGACACCATCATATTAAAGTTTGGTGAATTCACCACGAGGGCCTAACTGACTTCACATCATGCTCATTTTTATTAGGCACATTGGTTTTAGAAGAAAAAGTATAATCCATTACATTTAAAATTAGTGTTCCTGTTGCTACTGCGATACTTACTGAGATGAAACCCAGAATAAATTTTTGCAGTATATCCATTTAATATCTCCAGCAAGTTTATCATTCGCTGGTGTTTCGCTGCGTGTGAATTTCTTGGCACTATGACTATATTTATTTAGACAGTAAAAAATATATAGTTTTACTATATCTACTACATTTACTTTTTATAGCGTATAATTTACCTTTATCTGAATAGCAAACAGATAATTAGACCGTTCTTGTTGTAGTCTGGTCGCCGAAGTGTTAGCAATAAGCTTCCGAACTAAGCAAATAATAGTGCTTGATGATCCTTCGTTCAGAGGTGAAACACGTGTCGCAATATGGGTGTAGATCCAATAACGGTCGGAATTTGATCACCAATAGAGAAGGTCTTAATGCTTTCAGTTCACGGTGGTCAGGTTTCAGCACTGAATATTTGTGGTCACACACAAGTAAATAGCGGAATTAAACAAAAAAATATATATATCCATTAGTTGCTTTTACACGTACCGTCTTTTAATTTATAAATTTTAAACGTGTCTTTGGTAATTACAATCTATAGAATAATAAATAAAATTTTAAAATAAAGTTCAAAAACTTGAAACCTACGCTAATACGCCCGAAAGAGTGAACATAAAAAAACAGTAAAATACAGTCCCTCATGTACGACTGTAATAAAAAAACGGACGGATGAACAAATTTTTTTATCGAGACCTTAAAAATATATGTACACGAGAACCTCTTTCTAAAGTGTTAAGAAAAACGTTTGTTTGTTTTTAGGTTGAATACATTGACGAGGAGACGCTGGAAAATGAAGATGAAGAGTACATAGACACTGATATGGATGATATGAGTGACAACGCATCGGTCAGTGACAAAATGATGAATGATTCAAGACTGGACCATAGACAATTTGATACTAAACCTATTATTGACATTAAACCTGTAAACGAAACTAAATCCATAAATGATACAAGAGTGGTGAACGGAAATGGAAATGTAGACAAAAAACCGAAAATAAAAGTCAAAGAAGTTGACAATACAGAGGTACTGAAACTATTTACAGTGGTACAAAAAATGCAGCGGCAAGCCGTCGGCCTAAAATACAAATTAAGACGCGTTATGAAAGCGCACAATCGTTATAATAGAATTATAGAAAACATGGAAGAGAAGGTGGAAAGGAAGAAGAAGATTTTGGAGCAGAAACGTAAGAAAAAAGCTCGAATACTGCTGTCTCTGCAGGATAAAATTAAAGAGGATACAAATGGATTAGTTTTAGCTATGCCGGTGCGACAGACGGACGATTTGAAGAACTTTGCTCTCAGTATATATAAATATTCACCGCAAGCATACATTTATGTGAGGAACTCATTAAGAACTATGCTGCCAAGTACCGACGTGTTAGACTCCTGGTTAAGTTCAGGATATCAGCCGAAGAATGCTCTATCGAATAGTAATTTGATTAAAGTGATCGCTGAACAAACAGAAAAGGAACTGTCCTGTAAAGTTACGTTAGGTTAAGTTACATTCGCGTCTATTTTAAATAAAGCAGTCTTCAATATTTAGGTTTTTTAATTGTATTTACCAAGGTAGAGTTTGTACGATGTATTTCAACTGTCAAGCAACTTGTAACGTGTCTTCGATTGAATAATGAGCAGTGCAATTACATGATAAGGAGGCATGACATCGTGGTTCTACGAAATGGCAACACATGAGCGGTACTACTGGCGTCACATTTTGACCTCAATTGCAATGAGTGTAAAGCATGAGGAATGACAGGCTCAGGGGCGTACTAAAGCCTAGGCAACGTAAACCGGCTAACGGTTTACTGTGGCGGGACACCTGATCATTATACACATAGATTAGTAGGTTCGCGGGTACGTTTAGTTGTTCATATTTTGTATTAAAAATACATGTGTAGGTATTTACACATGTATCCAATATTTATATACCTATCACTTTATAACATTAAAAACAAGCAATTCAATTCGTAGCAAGATATGGTGTCACAAGTAGATGTGACATGGTCACAAAAAATCAGAATACATATCTATATAAAACAAATTTGAAGCTTAGTAATAGTTTATGCTTTAAATGAGTGATACCCAATGTGGTATATCAACCCCCAGGGGTTGACAAACTGCAAGAAGTCTACGACAGCGGTCATCTTGTTGTTGTTACTTTATGTTTTTAACACTAAACTTCACTACAGTTAGAAATTTACAAAAAATCAATACCAGGTAAGAATGGGGGGTCTACCCAAAACTGAAAAATATGACGACACAAAAGTTTGAGAACCTCTGCTTTAAATGATCTGAATTCCATCTTATCTCTTTATCTCTATCTGATCTCATTCCATTCATCTAATATCAAAGAAAAGTTATTTTACCATGATAATTTTTTTTTTATACAAATAGTGATCCATGCAAGTCATTTTAGGTATAAATCGAGATACATTCATGCCAGGTGTTTAACGGCTTGTATATTACTATTAGGCAGTCTCTGTATACACGTCCCTTTAGGGTTTAGGTATATGCCCTACTTCGTCGAGAACCTGAGAGCTTGCATACTCTTATTGCCCTTATATTTTTCTGTGACCAAGACTAAAATCTATATTTCATTTAAAGTATACCATATAAGTACATTACGATTACACGCAATTACAAGAGTATAACGTAATTTACTAAATCTTAACAGTGCTAAATACCAATATTATGAAACGTTTAACCTAATTTTCTGATTATTTTCATTTGTGGCGAATTTATTTACATAGCGCGGCAACACCGTTGCCTAGTTACGATGCGTACAAGAAAATAACAGCCTTGTCATTCAGGACCGTATCCTCTTGTAAATATGCTTTATATATATATATATATATATATATCTCCTCTGTAAATATCTACATAAGACAAAATATTGTCCTTTCACTTTCCTATTAAGGAACAGTTCTGTAATATTAGCCATACAATTATAGCCGCTAGACATTCGTTTGATTTAATAAGAGAGTGCCATCTGATCAAACAGGATAGGTATCCAATATAACTTTAAGTATGTTCTAAGAAACCTTTGCTATAAAGCAAGAACCTTTTTACTAAGGACAACAAAAATCTTCACGCCTCTGTATCTAGTCAATAGGTGGCGTTGATTGTAAATAAATCGCGCCATGTTAGAAAGGGATGGTAAATGACGGCCAAACAAATTTGAAGCAAGTCAGTGCCGTGATTCCCTCGTAGAAGGTTTATCGTGTCATAATCTGGGAATTGGAACGTCGCGCGTGATCAAAAATAAATATCCCATCTGTTCTGAATATTGTGTAAGTTTTGTTTTTACAAAAACTCACCCCGATTATGTGTGTGTAACGACGAAGATTGTTTATAGTTGCATCATAAAACAAGTTTGGTTTCTTAATTTTGTGTTCGCAAAGTGCACTCAGTGAGGTTTTTGTTTCGTTCCGTCTATTGTTACTGGATTTATTAATTCTAATAAGGCGTATAGCGTCGGAAAAAGGTATGTAATAACGTCGTTTTTATACCACTTCCACGAACATTAGCATTTTCTTGTACAGACCGTCCAATAGACTGAATCGCCAATATGTAACAGGACTTTGAATCAGAATTCTTCGTACGTGTACCGGCCTTATTTGTGTTGTGCCCATAAAGGCACCAAGTTCCATCGCCATAGAATACTTAATGCGGTCCATTATATGGACGTAAACAATTATAAATACAATATTTTGTACCGCCTCATTCATATCATGTACTTTATCATTTCTCTTTTGATGTTTATGGCTATGAAATTACGATTTGCTGTCGCTTGATCACTTGATGGAAAGTGTCGGTGTTTAATTATGTATTGTTGTATATGAATATTTAAATCATTTACGAATGTTTCGGTAAGTATATGCTATAGTGAAAGTAAGTTCGCGGGCATTCAACGCCTAGAGTGACTACTCAGGTAACATTAGGTTCCTATGTTATGTAGGTACACAGATTGCGTATATTATTATTTGTAAACGGAAGCTATGTAGGTACAGAATCTCCTGTTCCATTCATTTCTGTCTTCAAGAACCTTGCAGTCTGTATAGTATCTTTCTAGTATGAAGAAAAAGACATGGTTGTTTTACATAGATAGACTTTTATTTTTAATACGCTATAAGGGCGCCAGTTGAAGATGAGATGAGATGAAGAATCGAACCCGCGGAAGTAAAGTGGTGTGTTGCACCGCTAAACCACCGAGTCAATACATGCTATAAGTAGTTAAGTTTTGCAATAAAAAGTAAACTGAGAGAACAAGTTGTTCATTGTCTTAGTAACCTTTGGGGAAGTGGCATTGTCATGCGGCCGTGTCGTTGTTTTGAAGCGAGGAAGGTGCTTCTATTCTCAATAATGAATAGTTGCGTAATCTGCCAACGATGCTGCGAACCATAAGATGTAATACGTTTTACTCTTAATACTCACTTAGATTTAGGCCTTTTCTCTACTGTATGTTACAAATAAAGCATATTTCATCTATCTACTTATATACTCTAAATCAGAGGTTCCCAAACTTTTGTGTCGTAATTTTCGGTTTTGGGTAGACCCCCATTCTTACCTGGTATTAATTTTTTGTAAATTTCTAACTGTAGTAAAGTTTACTGTTAAAAACAAAGTATTTCGGGTCCAGCCATTTCAGAGATTAGCCGGAACAAACAGACGGACAGACAAAATTTAAAAAATGTTATTTTGGTGTATGCTCCGTATTTATATTCATATGTATGTAGTAAAAGCAGTTATATCAATATTACAAACAGACACTCAAATTTTATTTATATGTAAGTATAGATAATACAATAAAAATCTTTTACTAGTTAGTACTTGCCAGTTATTTGAGTAAGTCTTATTGTTGGATGTGGCCCAGTATCTTTGTGATTATCTGAGGATAATTTGCTAAGAGAAAGGTCATGGCAGAGACTGAGAGGTCGACGCAAATCTTCATTTCATTATGCCGCTCACGTTACAATTAACAATTATTTATCTACGTGAATCTAGGTTTGATAGCAGTTGCAATCAGTGTCATTGCGTGTAATGACTTAATGTGACGGTGCAAATAACTTGAAAAAAGATGAAAAGATTTTTCGTCGGTAAAGATTTAGATAGCTATTTATGGTTAAGATTTTTTAAATGGTTGATGATATTCGAGGAAATGTGCATCCGCTGTGGTATGAGGTATACGAGTGGAAGATGATAAGGTGTGTATGAGGTCAGGTCAGTTAGCCAATTGTGGCAAATTCACAAGGAATTTAACAGTTTATTCAATGCAAACAAACAACCAAATCTTTTCTCTTAATAATATTACTATATATTCCGGAGACGATAATTATGCGCAGATCTACTAGTGTGTAAGAAATAGCATTTCTATAAATTTATTATTAAATTTAAATACTTAAAGAAATTTTCATTCTGTTGGTATAATTATTTTTCCTGCTACGGATTTTGAGTGATGTTTTCTAAGGAAGTCCATCTAAATAATAATTAATTATTTTACCTGGAGCATTGGGTGTAATTTCGGGGATGTTGCCATAATTGCCACGTTGGCATGCGGGTTGGCGATCGTAGTGTGGTGGTAGTTCTCAGTAGAACGCTGCTGCCCGTCCACTGGTCGATGATTACCTTAGTCGCCTTCTACGATACCCACGGGAAGAGATGGGATGATTCCTACGGTGACACAATACGCACTTAAGCGGTACGCAAGGTGAATTCACAGAACTAAAACTTTAAGGATCAGATTTTTTTACAGTTGAGCAATATTTAAAAAGCAGAATGACCGTGTTTGTCTCAATACTCTAGCTTCCCAATTAGTCAACAGAGTACAACGTGGACATTCTCCTACTTCAGTGATGGTTTTGCGGGGTGTTAGCTATGAAGGTGTGACTGAGCCATATTTTTTGTGAAATATATGATTTGTCAGATGTTTTAAAATTATTTAAAGGTAGTTCCAGTATATCAAAGAATATACTGGAACTACCTTTAAATAATTTAAATATTTATACCCATTCCCATAAAAGACGCATTGACTTTTTCTAAACGATACTTAGGTACAGCAAGTTTATCTTTAGATCTAGTATTAATGTTATGAATATGGCTGTTTTTTGGAAATAAGTTAAGATTTTTGCGTCATAGCGGTTTTAACACGGCTGAAATATCGGGAATTCAAAGACCATAAATAAAACGTGGTAGGTAAATGTTTTCTTAATTTTAGATTCCAAATATTTCATTAAATATTATTGTAGATATCGCTTTACTACATAACCACGCACTATAAATAATACATAGGAAAATTGAGCAATTTACCTTTGCTCGTAGGAGGCTGCTATTTGAGAGAGTACCTTTGTAACTCATCTGTTATTGTTTCGTTAAGTTGTTTTAAAGTTATGTAATATTCCGGCCAGTAGTATAGAAGTTCACTGTCCTGCCTTACTCCCAAGAGGTTGTGGGTAGAAATCTGAATCACCAAAGAAAACACAGGATATTAAATATTTCTGACTGTATCTGTGGAATTTCTTGCCACTTCTTCTCAATTGAAACCGTCACCAAAGAAAACAATGTTTTAATTAAATATTTCAGACTTTTTACTTTTAGCGGAATTTCTTGCCACTTCTTCCCAACTACTAGAGCTGGATGGTATGACTAGTAATAAAAAATATAGTAAGATGTCGGAAGAGTCCTATATGCTTAAATTATTTTGACTTACTATTCGAGAAAGAGAAACCGATAGCAAACCAAACATTAATCCAAGAGACTGCGGTAGGATTGCTGCCTGGCTGAATCCACCTTATTCAAATATACTCCGCGATAATTTGCACGTATTAAGTGTTGCGTTTACTATGACATCGACAGTCTATAATGCTTCTCATTACTCCGTCATAGCTAACAGTTCTGATGGTAGGTTAGGACCGACAACTTTGCTATCTGTCTATGGTACACAGATATTGAAAGTATTAACAATAATAATAATAACCAGGTTATAAAAATAAGTCCCAGTTCAATAAAAATAGACCTAACTTTTTTATTAACTTTCGTGTGTGAAATACGTGGTAGAGTGTGTAATGTGTTTTCATTGAATTAATGTATTTTTTATGCATAATATTAGCACTCTGTGTTCCTTCTCTATATAAACTATAAGTGTGCGAAATTTCATAGGTGCAATTTTCGTAAAAAGGGTCCAAAGTTTTTGGTTCACAGATTAATATTATATAATAATATTCCAAAGGTTAAAAAGGTAGAGTTGTACACAGCGTCTTTACGACAGAGCTCCTTCTTGGCTGAATTTGCAATTCGAATTAGTTTTGGAATAAAAAATACTATTCAAAACTACGTATTAGTTTTATTTGAATAAAGATTATTTAATTTTCTAATTTCCGGTTCACGTTGTCGTCTTCACTGGATGTGACGTCTGTTGTGTGATCTTTGGGGTCTTATCAGTTAGTTACTATGCATCCTAGCGGATATCCTAATTTTCAAACGACCACGCAGTCAAACTCCGAGTATCGTCCTATTCGCCGGACATTACAGGTAGACTTTGTATCAAGTCATCTAAGTGGGTACTTCTATCTCCCTTAGTTTTGCTGTCACGCTGTGTTTTGATTGGAGGGTGAGATAGGGCAGAAATTTGATGGTAAGGAAACATAACATCGTTTTTATATTTTTTTATTGACGTTAATGGAATGATGCATCCGTCTGCGCTAACGGTTTACGGGCACCAGTGGACATGATGTGGATAAAAAATAAGCATGAAGTTAGGTCATTTAGACAAATGTCAATTTACCACGATGGTTTCCAGGGAGAATTGCGTCAATGGAGTCATTAGTCCACATTACTAACAATCCTCTTCTCCACTGGTTTGTGGTTTTATTACGCGACGAAGACACTGCGACCTGTATAGATCTATTGTGTCAGCTCTTTTTTAGAGTTCGCAGCCTGGGCCTAGGCTGCGACAAGGTCAGGGACAAGTATTGAATGGTATTCTTAGGAGCGATGATGTTTTTATCTCCTCAAGATAGAGTGTGTACTTTCTAAAGGAGCTGATGATGATGAGGAGAGACAAACCAGAGGGAGCACAATAAGACAACATTTTGTGAGTCAGCTGTCACCTACACTGGAGGTGGTGAAGCAGAGTTCACACTACAATTACAATTATATAATAAGTTGCCTATAGATTTAAAAGTTTATTATATGAGAATGTTTTTATACGCAAATTAAAGGATTTTTTATTAAAGAAGTGTTATTATAAAATTCATGAAATATAAAATAATTGTAATAATGGACATGATGACGCTTTGGTATATCTGTAAGTGTGGTGAGTACCTTATCTTAAATAAATACCTAAATAAATGACATTTAAATTTATTATTATTAAATTGACATCTTTCCTTATTAGACATTTATTTATCTTAGACATTAATTAAAATTATGATATGTAATAAAATTCAATACAATGTAAATTGTTATGAATAAATTAAATGTATTTCA